AATAATACACATACCAACTTGTTCTGTTGATCATGGTTCTTAACAATTCTCTGGGTCCATCTATAATAGTATTTGTGTTCCATTCAATAGCTCCATTTCAAAGCAAATCTCCTGCTCTTCCTGCTAAAGACACCACTTGTCAGTCCAGAAGTGCATGAACTCAATTACTCTCAGCAGAAGGGAAGTGAACAGATGTGCTCCAGGAGTGCACCAAGAGCTTTTCAGACAATAAATGTGAGTTCAATCCAGGGTACCAGCCTGGAGTCACTTCATGGTAAAACCCTTGCAACATGTCTGGATGTAGTAGTCAGGTGCATGGCACCAGCTGCTTTGCTCTCCAGATCCACTCACATTGTACCATAAATCTTCCTAAAGCAGTCGTGGTCAAGACATTCCAGAGGTTAGGAAACAGCAGCCTCCCCAAGGCCTCTTTTCTGCAGCTCACAAGTGCTATTTTTCCCAGGGATTGTCAATCATACCTTATGTCCAGACTTTCTGATTGTAACTTCTTTTTAGGAATACACCTGATAGACAACCATTTCTTCTAACAGTCCTAATCCATTTCTAGAGGAAAAAAAAAAGGTTTCCTCTCTGGAGGTCTGTACTCTTTTCCAAAGCCTCTAACTCAGGGGGTTTTTCAGTCTGAGATTCTACCAGATACAAGGGCAGCTGGTTCACTACTTCTTTCTTTCAGTGGAGGACCTCCTCATCTTTCTTATAAAGGAGAGCCCTTGCATCCCTAACTGGCAAGGATCAGATACCACATTGGCAAGATGGGGTCAGAAGCTATTTCTAGGGCCAGGCCCTCTGTGAGAAACAGGTTATTCCTAAAGGCATTTAGTTCTGCTGAGGCAATCTGCCATCTTCACTGTGGAGTGTGCTGTGTCATGTGTCATCTCAAGTTCTAAGAGTTGTTATGCACCAGGACAGTGCACTGGTAGTTGCTGGCTTGGGCTAATGAGAGAATAAAGGTTTAACTTCTCGTTTGTTACCTGTTCATCCTCTGACTGCTGTAAATCATATATCAGTTCGGGGTCTGCCCATTACTTGCAAGGGTTTTGTTCCCTACGTTTTATAGAATGCATTTTACTTGAATTTTGGTTGTGGATCAAGTGAAAACTTCAAGTTCTAGTAATCACTTAAATAAATCTTTGTTTTTTATAGGTGTCCTGTTGTCTGCTCTTATCCAAGTGAGCACATAATCCGTCACTAGACAAAGTTTTCTTCTTGGGCTTTAGACTTCAAACTGTAGCTATTCTGGTTGATAGTCCTACCTGTGTTGAAATCCATTACTTCCTTTGAGTTTTTGTTATTTGAGTAAAAGAAAGGCTCAGACAGTGTCACAAACCACTTCCATGAAGCCACTGTCAAGTTTGGTGGATCTCTGAACAGCTGGAGAGGCTAAAGATTTCGAAAAAGTTAAGTCATGACATTAGAATTAAAAAACTACCAGAAATTATACTTTCACTTCGTTTTTTGACTGTGGAAAAAAGAGCCCATTTATGTAAACTTCAGTGTACTCTTCTACAGTTAGTCTCTGTGTAAAATTTAGTTTAGTGACTTTGTATTCCAGCAGGTTCCACAAAGTTCTTGACCAGTCTTGCAGGGTTTGCCCTAGTGGTTGTGTTTCAAAGAACTTAAACTTTTGTGGGGAAGAAAAAAAACAACCAATGAACAAGCCCACAAAGTGAGCTGTGGCCCCAGTGAAAACATAAAGGGTAAAGATTGCTGGTTTAGATTGTGAAAGAAAATACTCAGTAGTCAATGCCAGATGGAAAAGATAAAATAATCTGGCTTCAGGTACTGACTGTCAAACAAAACAGAAGTCTTTTAAAAGTAGTATACTTGGGCCTATTATGCTAAAATTTTTGTATTCTTGCTTTTCCTCTGCAACTATGAGTATTATACTTTTTTTTTAACTTGAAAGCTGAACTTCTGAATTAATTTTGTAACACTTAAAGTTGTAAGAATAAGAAAAGTCCCAAATAACAGAAGATTTACAGTAAAAAGTGCAATAGTAACATCAAAAAATGACAGCAGACTTGTTCTTAAAATGCAGTTCTTTTGGTTATCAATGGTGAAATTTTTGGGCATGTGTTAGAAGCTTCATCAAACTTCCCTCCTCCTGAAGACAGTTGATTTTTATCTCTGTTGTGATTTTGCAGCCTCCTTTTTTTACCCCCCCTTGGGATGAATTATGAATCACAACATCCCTGAATGTGAACCCAAGGGTACTGCAGAATTTATAATCAGTGTATTTTTGGTTTTTGTTTGTTTGTTTGTTTGTTTAGGGGCTTGGGGGGTTGGTGGGTTTGTTTTGTTTTCCTTTGTTTGGGATTTTGGTTTTTTTTTTAAACTTAGATATTAAGCCTATGCTTTCATTTTCACAAACTGGCCACTGTGTGATAATTAGAAAATATTAGGCAAGGAAAGGATTCCATCAGTAATATATTACTACTTTATGTAAGTTATGTTGGATAAGACCGTGAAACACAGAGTCCTTTCTCTTCCAGGTAGACAGGGTAGTAGGGACCAAGCAGGGTAGTAAAGGCCAAGGCTTTGAACAGTCTAAGAGCAGTAATTTGTATTTTGCAGTAATCAGTACTGGTCTGGCACTTGTCAGAACAGGTGGTGAAGGACGAGAGGGAAAGGGGGATTTGATGGTGATTTGCTTCCACATCCAAAGATTATATTCCAGTCATTAAATGTCACAAGAAACATGTTTTCAAAAGTGACTTTTGAAAGTGTATTTGTAAGTCTCCAAGTTCTCAAACCAAGGTGTTTCGCTGGGATCAATTTCTTTGGAGAGGTAGAGGCCCATTTGTTCTACAAACAAGGATTCCTTTTGTATTTTCAGTGTGGATGGCATGAGCCTGAGGCACTTGCAGTCAGAGATTGCCTTAGAAAAATCTTGCCTGATAAGAATTAAACTTGATGAGAGCAACAGCAGGAGCAACTTCTTAGATAATGGAAAACTGAATTATGTAAAATTATCACTGTTAACAAGCTGTTTACAAACCCTTGCAGTGAGTTCAATTTTGATCTTAAAAAGTTGACTCTAAATGGCAAAACCTTTCAACTCTGCCACAGGATACTTCTGGTCTTAAAGGCTTAATTCCATTTCCAAAATGCTGCTGGTTTTATGCATGAGAACATCCTTCTAGAGCAAACATTTGGGAGCTGTCATCATGGACCAGGGCCTGGTCCCAGGTCGGTCTTGGTATTGCCAAAATGCAATGGTTTGGCAGGTGATGACATTTGAACACAATTGGATTTTACACTTTTTATGGCATATCCTGGTGTTTGCGTGTCTTGAGGCAGAGCTGTTCAAGGGAAAAGGGACATTGTCTTTGGCTGATTCCAATACATCTTGTCCCTTGGGTCCATACTCTCTGCTCAGGTGCTGATGGTTACTCTGGAAAAGGTCCATATGTTTCCTGTGCAAGGAAGGAGCTGTCAGCTGTCAGGAGCTGGTTCCACATGGTACTATGAAAATAAATTTCCATGCAGATTCTGATCTGCTTCAGAGTTGCACCACAAGACAATATATTATTGACCTCAGAAGATTCGGATCATTTAACCTACATAGTACTTTTCACTCGTGGACAGTTCACTCTTTACCTGTGCATGTGCATGCTCCACCCCACAGAGACTTTTATAATACAGGAGTCAGCAGCACAAAAATGGAGAATTCATTAAATGAAAAATTGCTCTATGTTACAATACTCCATTTTAAAGTTAATTCCCCTCTTCTGCTTTCAATGTCATGAACTGGCAGTTTTTCAAGGTTTTTAACAGGTGAAACAGTAAGACAACTTATTTTTAAGGCAACTTTCCATTATACATGGGGAATTCAGGTTCTCCTGTTTGGTGCATTAACTTAATTGGTAGCCTGTTGTAAAGATGTAGAAGAAAACAAGAAGAAAGTAACACTTTAGCTCTTGTTTGAATTGTACTTCTCTTATTATTTGCATTTTTGCAGGGTGGTATTAACAGAATATCCCACTCATGTTGGTTTCACTTGAAGCTGTTTAAACTAAGCATCTCTGAATTAGACCATGATTCAATAGAGCAAATGATTTAGGGCTTTAACTCCAGGCCTTGATAACCCTTCATAACAAGAGAATGATTCTGTTGTGAAGATTGGGTTTGGCAGGGGGAAAGCTAGAAAAATCCTTTTGTCCATCTCAATATTCACTTACTACAGAAGTTGTCTTCCAGATCAATGCTGACCTCTCAGATGAACAGTGGTTTGACAGTTCTCCTACTATTGTGCACCACAGCACAAATGTGCCTTTTTGATTGATGATATTCTAGTAATAGCAAATGTTTGGAAAAAATATTATGAACTGTGTCACCTGCTCCCCACCTGTACTGTATTTAGACAGTCTAGGAGAAAACAAAACCAAGTTACCTAATATATTTGCTCTTCACTGCTATTTTTAAATTGAGCTTTGGGACATCTAGACATCTCCAGGTACCCAAGCATGCTCCCATGCTTGTCCTGTAACCTGAGATATCACTCTCCTTGTTCCTACCCCAGACTTGCACGCACACAGTCTCTAAAAGCTTACTGAAACATTACTTACAAAGAGATGCTCTTATGACCAGACCAGCTGAGATAGCAGTCAACACATTTCAATGCACATGGTGACAGGAGCAGTTTTAGATGTTCCTGTTCTGCCCAGTATTATTTGTGACAGTAACCTTTTCCATGGCTTGCGTTCTGGTTGAGCTCTTTGTGAGACTGTGGCATGAACCAGGTTAGGAGGCTGATCCAGATAAATAGTGTTTTCAGTGTTCTTCCTTTTTTAGCTGGGGCATCGATGAACAGAAAAGGAAATATTTGAAAACAATCTATCTGAAAAGAGTAATCATGTATCCTTCACCTCACTATATCCTCACTTCTCTGTGCTGAGGTGTGCCTCACAGCTCTAGTACTCTGTGTTGCAGTGGCCCAGCCACCAGCTTACTGTTCTGTGTCTCTTCTTTTATTTCAGCAATTCAGCTTTGTCTCCCTGCCCACGGATGTCCTGGAAATAGAAGTTAAAGACAAATTTGCAAAGAGCCGACCAATTATCAAACGTTTTCTGGGAAAACTCTCTATGCCGGTTCAGCGCCTCTTGGAAAGACATGCCATAGGGTAAATCTTGCTGCTTACATTGTTTAACGAGTGTGTTGTTGTTCTGAAGTCCCTGGTGATATATCATTATTTCGATATAATGGTATTGAGGGGAAGTTATTAAACTGACAGTTGTCTAATAAATGACATTGGTTTTAATTAGAATTTATAGTACCATTCCCTCTATAGACAGAATTCTCTCTATAACTGTATGCATAGCGTTTTGAAAAGTGAGAGCTGGCATTTAGGAAAGAGGACTTTTTTTGTATATCATGGCTGCAAATTTGGAGAGTGCAATATTTTCAATTTGAATATTCTTTTAATGTTATCAACAGGCTGTTTTCATGTTCCAGGGAATTACCTATGGGCTAAAAACATGCCAGATCTGTTCCTCCTCTTTTTAATCTCTGGAAAGGGGAAATATTAGAAAAATATATATGTGGCATGTTGTAACTAATGCTTTCTGATCCTACTCTGCTGCCAAGGAACAACCTTGAGCTCACAAGCGCTGCCCTGCTTCCCCATTGCATGAAAGTCCTGGGAAAGTGTATGCTACCAAAATAACACAAACCAATTTAAGGAAGATGAATAGTACTCAGAAAAAGCCAAAAAGTTGTCTCTAAGCCTCTAATGTTCAGACCTTGAAGAGCAAGGGAGTAAAAGAATCATCTTCTGAGGAAAGCATATGCAATGCAGTTTCCAAGAAAGCATTTATGATAATTGGATCTCAATTCAGTAGAACAGTGGGAAAATGAGCTTGTTGGAAGTGTTTTTGAACAGCTGGTTCAGAAACCGGCTGTGATATTGACAGCTGAATCTACCAGAAGGGTCTAAGCTACCTCCCTGTTTCTCAAGTAGAAAAGATAGAGTAGCTTTTTAGAAACCAGATGGATAAGAACAGCTTGGGGAAGGTAGAACCCTGTAACTGGTATCACTGGCTTTCCTCTGTATGAGAAGATTTCTCATCATCTTCTGATTATAGCTTCCTATTTTACTTCCTTGTTGTAAACACTGTCTATCTAAGGATATACATTGCCAAGAGCAGTGCCTCCAACCTGCACTAGATCTGGCTCAGTTTTAATACCATAGTGATATTTAAATCTCAGGCAAGCTCAGTGAGAAGTATGCACACGAGTTCAGAGAGGTTGTATGCAAATCTTGAGGTCTTCTCATTTTCATGAGTTTCTGATGCATGTGAAACTATGCTAGCAAGTGCATTTGGCCCAACTGGAAGTGAACTATGTTTCTTTCAAAAGATGTATAAGTATTACTGTTTAGTGAACACGTTACACTCAAGAAATGCTTTGCAAAGATTGATTCAGCCTCATTTTGGGCAGCTGGGAAGTTAATCTCTTCTATAGTTTCATTCTGTTCTGAGGGGTGGATGAAGTGTGGCAAAGGGAGGGACCTGCACAAGGACAGAATGGAGTCATTGATCAACCTTGTCAGGAAGGTGTTCTCCTGATATTTCAGCTTCATAGAGGTAAGAGGGGTGGAAAGAGATGAAGAAGAGTCACTCAGCCAGTTTAGACAGAGAAGGTGGTATGCGGGGACTGGCCTGCACAGGGTGTTGTAAACAAGAACAGGAAAGCTGAATTTTATGAACATGGTGAAGGGAAGAAAATACAGAAATGTGAGGTTCTACGAAAAGATGATCAGATGGTCAGATCTTCAGGAAAGAAAGTCTTGTTACAATAGCTGAAGTGGGAGTTGTTTGCTTCCCATGTCGCTATTTTCATACCCATACTGCAGAAGTTTCATTCCCACCATTCTCTCTATATTTATACATATGTGCTTGTGTATCCCAGCAGCCTGTCTTACTCACTTATCAGCTGTTCCATTGTAATTGAAGACATTGTCCTCTCCTCTGCCATTCGTTCTCTCGTATGCAAGTCAACATGCCCCCATGGCTGGGATGAATAGCCTTTGTGTATTTTATTACATATTTTTGTAGGACACAGCAGATTTATCTATGCACAGTAGACATAGGGTAGGTTATAGTCTATTGTGACAATATTTGTTTTCTTTCAGGGACAGGGTTGTAAGCTACACTCTGGGTCGCAGACTTCCTACAGATCATGTCAGTGGCCAGCTGCAGTTCCGATTTGAGATCACTTCTTCCATCCATCCAGGTAATTCTCAGTCTTAACCCATCGTTTATCTAGATTTCTAGAAATTTTTGTTTGTTTGTTTTAGGTTTTTTGGTTGGTTGCTTGGTTGGTTGGTTGGTTGGTTTGCATTCTTTCTCTTCAGAAATCTACATTAGTTCCTAGCTGCTCTGGGACTTTAGATACAGTCATGAGCAAAGGGAAGTGCATAAAGTCCTGCATCACAGGATGCATCGTGAGTCACAATTTCTTCCCTCTTTCCCCTTAGGACAGAGCTATTGGTGTTTCCTGTTCCCCTGTTTTTGGCTGTTCCAAATACTCCACCACATCACTGGGAGAGAAGAGTGTGTAAAACTAAAGCCTCATCTGCTTCTCTATCAGCTGCCCTAGTGAAAGTGTTATATGGGCTGTTATTTGTAGAGTCATCTGCATTTGAGCACTTGATAAGTAAAAATGGAGAATGTAATAGCAAAGATGATTAGAAAATTTCTCAATTTAATTATTTTTAATGAAAAAAGTAAAACAGAAAAGAATTCTATGTTCCACTTCTTCCCTCCCATTTGATTTGGTTTTGGTTCATGTTCTCCTGTTATTTGGAAATGACTGTCATCATGGTGTAAGGTTGAACCTTGGTTGAACCATGTCACAGTCTCAACAGTATTTCTCAGGGACTCTTTGCCGCGGGGGCTCTCTGCCCTTTCTGCTACAGTTTATCAAGCCAGCAGTAGCTGCATTAGTGGCTGGAAATCACTGCTTTTCACTTGCTGGAAAACCCTGATTTCTATCTTTTGACTATTTGGATAGTATGAAAGAGCCCAGTAGTTTGACATCTAAGAGGAGGTGGTACAGATGAGGATCACGTCAAGGGGTATTTTGGGGGAAGTTTCTGCCTTCAGGGCTGGCAAACACAGTTTTTTACATTCTCTGTTGTGGAGTCTTGCCAGGTTCAATGTGACAAGAAGAATGTCATTAAAATCTCAGGGAAGACTTCCCTGATTCCCATAATATTCCCATAATATTTCCATAATATTTCCATGATGTCTCTCCTCTGATGCCAGTTTGGCTCAAAGAGAAGTTTCAAGAAGGTGTTACCTTCAGGTAATGCTGCAAGGAGGCAGGGTGCTGCATACAGATTACCACCACGAGTAAACCCATGATTAAATCAACTGTACAAAGACTGCCTAGCAAAGAAAACCTCAGGACTTCTTGATAGTTGTTCAGTTGCCCACTCATTTCACACTGTAATTTATGCTTTTAATTTTCTCAGATTGCTGTGGATGCTTGTTCCCCCACAGCCAACCCTCTGGTTCAGTCAACACTTCTTATTAAAAGAGTAAGTAATTCATTTTCCTGTCTCATACAGATGATGAAGAGGTCTCCATTAGTGCAGATCCTGAGCCAGCTGACCTCCTGGAAAGCCCTGTGAACAACCCCACAGAGGAAAGCCTCGGTGAGCCTCCATGCATCAACACAGTGACCTCAGAAAGTGCAGCTCCAGAACAGCTAAATGGATACAGTGTGAACAGTGTCGATAGCCCAGGGGCTGCCAAACCACCTGGGGAAGTCAACCAGAACAGCTTAAATGAAGAGCTAGCAGGAGATGGGGAGGTTGATGCGGTGCCAGTTCCTGAGCCCTTGGAATCCATCCCAGGAGAAGCGCTGCCTTCTTTGAGTGCTGCGGACCTCACGGAGCAGTCGGATCTGATGGCTTGCATGTCTCCTCCTGAGCCCGAAGTTAGGGAAAATAACAAAGTCAATTCCGGTATTCAGGGAGATGGTGGAGTCTTGACCAGCATAGAAACAGGAGATATTGATGAGGTGAGTGCAGATGTGCATGCTGGCAAAGACCTAAAGAAGAGTCAGGAAGAAGAAGAAGAAGAAGGGGCTTCAGCCCAGGAGGAGGAAGACAACAAGCTACAACTGAGGACCACAGCAAAGAGGAAAAACAGGCCGTGCTCCCTGCCTGTGTCTGAACTTGAGACAGTCATAGCTTCGGCTTGCGGTGAGCCAGAGACCCCTCGCACACACTACATACGGATACACAACCTGCTCCACAGCCTGCCCTCAGCACAGATGAGCAGCGATGGGGAAGAAGAGCAAGATGGTGGTAATGGCAGGGAAAACGATGAGGAGTCTACTGTCAAGGAGGTGCTGAATAAGGAAGTGGTCAGTGAGAGTGAGACCGTGGCAGCAGAGCCTCCTCTGGAAAACGAGGCTGAAGAGAACTTCAGCCAGAGTACAGTGCCTCCTGGGACCTTGGATGAGCAACTCTCTGACTTGAATGATGGGCTGTTGAATGGGGAACCCCCCAGGACAGGAAGTGAGAGCGAGTCGAGCTCCAGGCCCAATGGTGACAACGAATGTGAGGCGTGCGACACCTCTTGCTACAGCCCCTCTTGCTACAGCACCTCCTGCTACAGCACCTCCTGCTACAGCACTTCCTGCTACAGCACCTCCTGCTACGACAGTAACAATCGCTTCTCCAGCCACACGCGCTTCTCCTCTGTCGACAGCGCAAAGATTTCTGAGAGCACGGTCTTCTCCTCACAGGATGATGATGAGGAGGAGAACAGTGCTTTTGAGTCAGTGCCAGATTCAGTGCAGAGCCCTGAGCTCGACAGGGAGCAAGTGGATGGCTCCTCCCAGTGGCCAGATGAACTAGTAGCTCATGGTGGGAATCCACAGAGAGCCACAGAGGGTCTAGACACCCCAGTAGCAGGTCCAAGCAGCAGAAGAGAAGGTTAGATCCTGAGAACTGATGCGCTGGGCAACCCTGATTATCTAGATGTCACAGAAGGCATCAGATAATTGAGGTTTCAGATAGCTCACGGTTTATTTCTTACAAACTCGGGGGCTGTGAACTGAGCCAGATATTAGGGAGGGTTGGATAATTGAGCCTGTCCTTAAAAATCCCAGCAAAACCAACTAAATCAGGTAGGGATACTTATATATGAATTATTGTAGATATACATGCATCATTATAAAATCAAGATCAGCTACTGTAGTTATGTAGCAGATCAGCATTATCACATCTACCAACTCGTTCCTTTTTTCCTGGGATTTTTCCATATCACATATCTGATGGACTGCCATGTCTCTGAAAGTCAGTGGGAAGGCCAGCTTGTGCTTGTCAAAGGGCAGATATGCTGCTTTGCACTACATAAAGGTCTGGGCCAGTTTCTGGAAATGTTTGTTAGCCATACATAATCATAAGCTCTTACAAACACAGTTTTTGAGCCCCATTTGTTCCAATTCTCCAAGTGTCAAACAAATGATGTCGCAGATCATAGGGCAACTCAACAGAGATTTATATTTTTTCTTAGGTATTTTGGAAATTTAACTATATCAAAATTCCCATCTCCCTATCCTTCCCTAGAGATAGAATACACTTTTAAAAAAAATTTTTGTCTTTATAATTTAGGTACTATTTTTTCCAGTTCCCTCACAGTTGCATTAAATCCCTGCCTTTGGTAACTCCTTTCATGTTCTCTGCAGTTACATGAAGAAGGGGAGTTGATCACTCCTCTCTTCTTCAGCTAGTGTATCATTTTTCTCCAGCTGAAGAAGTAAAGGACTCAGCTTCAGCTTAGGAGTATGCAGCAAGGTCAAGTAGTCTTTACATTCCCTAATTCTGAGTCATCTGTCTCCCTCTATGACACCAAATTAAAATGGCAGCAAAAGGAAAATCTCCTTGGGTATCACCGAGGAACTCCAATTAAAGCATTCATCTATGTTTTCCTTCTTCATTCCCAATTTATTTACTCACAGCTTCCTTTGCCACGGACCCTACCCCTGCACAAAAACGGATGTAAGGGCGTCCTTACACATCAGCTTGTGTAAATACTTTGTAGACAGCTGGGACTAGGGAATTATTGAGTCTGTAGAGCAGAATCTAGCACAAATAATTAAATATTCAGAAGTACACAGGCATAGAAACCCAGCTTCCTTCCTTGCAGGTGAGAGCCTTTGCTTGTGAACAGCATTTACGTGCAAGTATAGCTAAGGGGGCAGCTTGTGTATGTGTGAGAGCATTCGTACAGATTTGATGGTTGAACTGTGTGAGCTTTTGATAGGGGATGTGGTGGGAGAGAGTGTCTGCTGCATATGGATTCAGTACAGCACCAAGACAGGAGCCTCCATGAAGGGCACTGCAGTGTCCGTGGTGGCTTTGCCTTGTTTAGCTGCATGTCTGAAGGGCAGCCCAGCTCTTAGCACTCCCTCAGTGTCACTGGGGGTGCCTCAGTCAATGTGCTCTTTGCTTCATGACTTGGCAGCTGTTACAAACACAGTAGATGTGGTCACCTCCGCCCCCTCCAGGTGACTGACACTACCGTGCTTCCACTGGCTTGGCATAACTATCTTGACTAGGGGAGAGTCAATTGTGGTGAGGTAAGTAAAGAAACATAGATGGGTGATCTGGTAGTCGGTACAACAACACCTGTAGTAACAGCACAGTTTTTAATGCTGTGAGAGATGGACTTTAAGCACTGAGTCATAAACTTATGTAACTCTGCTGTCTGTTCAAAACATGCAGATACATCTGTGAGATACGCCTATACACAAGTGGTTTAATGAAAGCATTTAACAGGCCATACGGTCTCATCAGAGCACCTAAAAGAGGCAGTATTTTTGTCTAAGTGATTTTTCTTATTTCTGAGTAGTGTGAGGTTTTTTACAATTTTATATAAAATCGGCTTCTGCCTTCTAGCAGTTGGATTTTTAAAGAAAAAACATACTTAATTTTTTTCGATAATGTTTTTTTTACATTTGATTGGTACATGTTTAGGGCTTTTCCAAATATTCATTCTTAGGCTGTTAAGATTCTAACATTAAAGAGAGCTAAACCATCTAGTACATCTAGTGAGTTTGGCTTAGCATTCCCAAAATCACCAGAACCATTCAGCTGAATATATACTTTTCCATAAGCTGCATCTTTCTGATGCATGTAAATACTGTGTTTGTGCAATTCGGAGTGTATCTATATTAACTAGATGAGCTAGAAGTTATAGTCAAAAACTGTTACCACACAATATGAAAATATGTCTATTGGTAAGATAAATAGTCCTGGTTACTAAGATTTTAAAGACAAGCCAAGAAGGAGTCTTTGTTCTGGAACCTGTGAAGTTTGAACATGTTAAGTCTAAGATAAGGAATGCTTTTTCATCCCTACTGGAACTTCTTTGTTTCCTAAAGGATTCTATAAACATTGACTTGATCTTAAGTTACTTGTTCCTCTCAACAGAATGCGAGTTTGGATATTTACTTAGGTTTCATTTATTTCATATTTAAATATGGCAGGGAATTGGAACTAGACGATCTTTAAGGTCTGTTACAACCCAAGCCATTCTGTGATTCTATATATGGACATATATACAATTCTAGTATTTAAAAACCTACTCTGCACTGTATTCTGTGTGGCTCTCTTTCTTCTTCTTCTTCTTCTTCTTCTTCTTCTTCTTCTTCTTCTTCTTCTTCTTCTTCTTCTTCTTCTTCTTCTTCTTCCGCTTCTTCTGCTTCTTCCTCTTCTTCTGCTTCTACTGCTTCTTGTTTTGCTTTTTCTTCTTTTTCTTCTTTCCCTCTTCTCTATCTCAGGTCTTCCTTCCTTATCTCAGATCCTGACTATATCTCACTATCTTTTGTCCTTCTCTTCTACCACCTGTCTCCTACCTGTTTCTGGTCCTCTCATTCTCCATCATTCAACCCAAGATGGACTCTCTGAATTTTGATAAATACCCGTGAAAGGGGATGATCTTTTGCTTTGCAGGGACTGCAAAATCCTGCTATTACAGTCTACATAGGCAACCACTGACCTTTTTGAAAAGGAGAGAAAGATCCAAGGCAACTTTTAGCCTTTTATTCCACTGATGGAATTGCTTAAAAGTTGGAACCAGGATTTTGCACCTTCCTGCTAGTTGCTGCAGAAGCTTGAGTTTAGTTGTACATGAACAGTATTTCTCAGAGATCAAGCCTGATTCTTCTATTGCTTACGCTTGTGTGTCTGTGAGTCCAGAATCTGGCCCATAACAGTTTAGCATTGACTCAGGAGACTTGACTGCATTATTTTAATACTTCTTTGCCATACGAGTTGCTGTTAAAATAGTGCCTTGAAAATCGGAATATCCAGAGATGCTGGACATCAGGTTAATCTATTTTAAAAATAATCACTTGTTTTACAGTAGCACATTTTTTGAACCACATTGTAAAAACAGTGAATGATTGTCAATGTCTTGAATATCTTGTCCATAGGTGATTGTCCTTTACTCCATAATTCTCAGCCAGTCAGCCAGCTTCCTTCTCTGAGGCCTGACCATCATCACTACCCAACTATCGATGAGCCTCTTCCACCAAGTAAGCTTTAGTTTTTTTTATTTTATTGCATTTTTTCAGCTTTTCCTGTTAACTCAAATAGTGTAGAGGTCAGTATGTCTTTCTGAAGAACCCTGTCTGTTCTGTATATGCATTCTCCAGAACCCAAGTAATATGCCCTTTTGTTCCCTTATTTGATCCTGGCTTCAAGTGTTGTCATGTTGTTTTGGACAAGCTCCATAACCTCCCTCTCTGCCTTGGTCCATCTTCTTCCCTGAAATGAAAATATTATTCCTCTTTTCCAGTCAGTGTGTTCAGGCTTGAACGGTTGGGATCTGTTAGTTGTTCTGGAAGCCTGACTATAACATTTTCTGGGTGATGTATCAGCAAAATGATTTTTCTGTAATGTTTGTCTCCAGGTTTTCTGTAACCAACTTCAAAGATGGTTTGGAATGGCAGTCCCTATGGTCTGTTAAGTCTGCATGCAGGTCCAGCAGCAGCCCTTTCACAGTGAGGATGCTCCTGTGACAGGCAGGCCCAAATCTGAGCCAAACCAGCAGAAGCTGGGAAAAGGCAGCTCATCTACAGTGGTCTTGTTATACTGTCCTTGGATTTGATAATCAGTGAATTTTATGTTCGTTGTGGACTGTAGTCGAGTCTACACTTGCACTGAATAAAAATGAGAGGGTTTTAAATAGTATGATCGATTAGCAGACTGGTAATATGAGATTTTTACCACCAAAGCAACTGCTGGAGTTGTTTTTTACTTGTCTCTGCACCCTTTCCTTTATGGATTCCCAGAGGATTACCCTGCTTCTTGCACTGGCGTTCGATGCCCAGCAGAGCGCACTCTGTGCCCTGCGACGTGCGGCTGATCACCTTTCAACTGAGCACAGATTTCACAGCCTGAAATGTGCAGTGCCTCACAAAAACAACCAGGCGTATAAACAAAGCGTTCTATTTTCTTCAAAGCCCAAGACGGGAACACTCTTATTTGGCCTGTGGTGCCCTTGACAAATAATTCATCATTTGCCAACCATGCTGTCAGTATTCCCTGAGCTGAAAATAGTCCCGGTACTGGCGTCAGCTGCACAGTAGCATGAATGATTCAAATGCCTTTAGCCCAATGAAGTCTTATTAGAATCCCACTGTGGCTTGCCAGTGAATGATGAAATGGGAACGGTTACCTCTGTAACAGGGAAATATTTCTCTTCCTCCCACTCTTACCACAATACTTTGTGGATCAGGCACATTCCCTATTAGATGACTTAATGATAGCACATTAACACCAGCTCAGGTAAACAGAATATACTGTGAATCTATTCCATATTTTTCCATCACCAATTTAATACATTTTTCCTCTTTCTTATAGTTATCCTCAGAAGGCAAGTATTTCTACCATTGGTTTTCTCAAGTGCTTTCACAACAGGGTGTAAGGACATGAAATGCAATATGTGATGATAAAGTACAGAAGTGATATCCTTTTGTAGGATTTTATTTCAGCATTACCATTTTTACTATAAAGGCTGACACTGTGGGCTTCAACATATTGATCTTAATAGGAATAGATGTACTTAGTTAATTTTGAGTGGGAAAAGAAGTTAGAAAACAGGTTTCAAAAAATTCTCCATGGAATTTTACTGTAATTTCAAAATGAGAACCATAGCCTTAATCTAGACATTTTTCTTCTCCTTAACTTCAGTATCACTATCTCAGTACCTTTAATAGCTCATATTCCTAGATAAATAGTTCTTCAATCATGTAAAAGGAAAAAGCTTTCTATTTTAAACCCAAGTTACTTTGATCAAAGTTGATTTACTTCTCACGTGCAGTGTTAGCTTCCATCTTTAAGTAGATGGTGGTGAAGAGGTGAAAGTAATCTGCCAGTGCTCCAAGTTCAGCGTTGACTGATTTTCTTTAGGTTGTGGAGAATCTTCTGGACAGTCTTCTTTCTCTTTTGAATAGTTTTCTGTATAGCTTGATTTCATCATAACCTCACAACAACTGGTCTCGAGGAGGAAATATAATTTCAGACAGGTTTATTTGGTAAAATAAAGTAGAACAGATTCATTAGTTATGTAGGAGTATCATAATGACCAGTCTGAATGCTAAGTCTGATACGAGATTGACAGAAGATTTGCAGTGCTTGCACGGCTTCATGACGATATTACCAGTCACCCCTTATTACGCCTGTGTTTGGAAACCCTACAGAACTGAAGCCAAAAAAATACATGTGCCCAGTTCAGAGCTGCTCTTTGCCGAAGGTGTGGCTCAGCCTGGAGAGGAAAAGACAATATATTTTCTTTGCCCTGATGGTCCTCCCAGAAAAAGTGGCATCTTCTGATATTAATCAGAGCCGTTTCAGAGGCTGCTGTGAAATATGGCTTGGCTGATGGAGGGAGATCACTGGAGAACAGAACCAGTACTGTCACATCCCTAGCCCATGAGCCCAAGAGCTCTAGCATGCTCTTACTGTGAAGGTTAGATAGAGGTTAGTCTTTGTAGTAGTCACAGTCTTATTTTACCTGGAAAACTTAACAAAAGATCCTGAGGAAATTTGGCTGCTTCCTAGATCACCTTTGCCCCTGAAGTAGCGTGAGGGGACTTGAGCACAGCTTGGAAGCAGAGTTCTGCCTGTCTGTTCACCAGTCAATTTATCTCACTGTGCAGGTATCCATCCATCTGTCCACAAATCTGGTATTATATTCAGGCAGCCTCAGTGACTTGTGTGACTTACAGGCTGTCTTATGGGAAGGTAGGAAGTACACCTGCTACCTGCATACAGTTAAAGTTGTACCTGCCACCCTTTGACAGCCTTTCCAGGTGACCAAGAGTTACTCAGCTGACTAGAAATGCTATTGCAAGGAGCATGAGACACACAGTTTCTAATATTTTAGCATGCCAGTGTCAGCCCATGGTTTCAGGTGGACATGCCCATAAAGCAGTGAATAAAGCAACATTCACTGACAGGTGTAGTTTATGTCTGTACATACTGCTGCGGTATGTCTGACACATCTGACAGAGTCAGCCTTCCTGAAGTCATGATACACTCTGACCTGATGTTTTTATTGTGATCTTCAAGTTCTGGACAAGCTTCCTTACTCCTAGGTTTCCAAATATCATGCTTAGAAGCTTAGGAACTCTAAGTTGTACTTAATTAAACAGTACAAAATAGCCCGTAGAGCAGGTAGTGCACAGGGATGGATTGTAAAACCTTGTTTCGCTGTGTAACTGGATATATTTATTCTTGCTAAGCATCCATCAACAGGCTTTAGACCAATATGACCAATTGGTATCTTCCGGTAGGCTCTCTAGAATGTGGTTCTACAGCACTGCCTACAAGCTTCTAATTCTCCATGGACCTGTATCATTCTTAACTTGTTACAAAGTAAAACAATAGCGTGGAGTGAGGGCTAGGATTCGTCCTTTTCCAGAAAACAGCAAGGAAAATGAAGATCTTTATGATGTTGTACTGGATCATCTTATCTTTGATCTGGTCAAGGTTATTTCCTTGAGGATACTGTAGATAATGCACAGCTCCAGAAGGGCCATCCCCCACCCACAGTTGTACACCTGCCACCAGTGCCAGCATGCTCAGTTGGGCTCTGGCCTTCGACCTGCCTTATGTGTCAGTCTGATTTACCTCAATGTGCATATGTTGTATTTGATGTGCTTTTTTTCACTGTCTTATGTTTTAGATATGATTTTCACAAAGCTGTGATTTGTTCTTGAAACAGCTACCATATCCTTGGCAAACTTTACCTGGAGGAGGAAGAGAGAGTCCTCTCCTTAAATAATGTAGTGATTTTCACAGTGAGAGATACTGCACGGTGTGCCCATGGTGTGACTATAGGGTTTGTGTCTTTAAGGACTGTGGTACTTGTAGGCAGGTTTGAAAGAAGCAATGCATGTGCTTATGGCTCTTGTTGTCTTGGAGTCTTACAGAAAATTTCTCCAAGAATTTCCAGCACCCATCTTTTAAGGTTTGTGGGATTCAGCTGTCAGGGGCAGCTAGCCATGGACTTCAGACAGCCTACACTTGTCTGGAATTAAATATGGGATGTGGGTTTAGCCAGGGCCAGAATTCAAAGGATGGGAATTGGTCATGAAGGATAGGTTTCCAGCTATAGTAGGAAGAGTTGCAACTTCTGTCCTACTCTTAGAGAATAGGAAATGAAATACATAAAGTATGAAATTCAGATGATCCTGAATTTGATCATAGAAAACCATAGGAGGAGTGAACTCGTCAGGGAAGATGGTATCATAGTAAGAATATGGGAACATGAGGAAGTGTTTGCCCTCAAAGGTAATCACCATATGTGGGTTTGTGTGTGAATGCGAGTGAGGTTTGCATCTAAACTCATGTAGAAAGTATGTGCATGTATTTACATAGATATATCATCAGCTGATGGGTCACATGGGAACATGAAACTAGCAAGCCTAATTTATTCCACTTCTCCATGCATTCCAACCAGTTTGATATGTGGCTTTGCTAGCTAACTCACTTATTAATTTCTTCTGTTACAAACACTATTTTTTATCAACATTACCATTTTCCACAAGCCATCATATACCAAATAATTTTTAGTTTTCAATTATGGGACAAAATAAACAGTAGCAGGAAGCAATAATGATGGAAGGCTCAATATTATACTGCAAACTCTCAATCTAGTTTACATTCATGAGAGCAGTACTCTTTTTAGAGAGATTTCTAAGGTATGTCCAAAGAGTCTGTGATCAGTTTTCAGTGAAGCCTTTAATTGCTTTATGATGTCCTTTGAAGCCACTTTTGCAAAAGGGAGAGAAATGAAACATGTTTGTTCTGAAATATAACAAAAAAAGAAAACATGGAATTTGCCATATTAGCTCAGGTGTAATCTTGTAAGGGTCGGTTCCTTGTGGCTAATCCGACCTGCAGTGAATCCAGCCAAGCAGTATCACTAATTGAAAAATTACCTCATCCTTTAAAAAAATGTAGCCCCTATGTGTCACTAGCTTTTCATGGGCTGTGGTAGTGAACTCCATGGCCTGTGTGCTGTGTACGAAATGTTTCTGTATATGCATATGCTGCATATATGTATATATAGACAAGCAAATAATATATTTACACACTTGAATGTGTACTTTGAATGTATACACATGATATGGATTGCATGTAGGCTATATATATATATATATGTGTATATATATATATATATAGTATCTCCAATGTGTATCTACCCTGTGTATATGTGTGTGTCTGTATATACCTCCCACGTGCAGGTTTTCTGGAAGGCATCACACTGACAGCATCACCCCTTCCTTTCTTTCCAACTCTAGATTGGGAAGCTCGGATAGACAGCCACGGGAGAGTGTTCTATGTGGATCATGTCAACCGCACCACCACGTGGCAGCGGCCCACAGCCGCAGCAACGCCGGACGGGATCCACAGGTCTGGCTCCATCCAGCAAATGGAGCAGCTGAACCGCAGGTGAGCATTTGCACCTGAATTCCTTTGACATCTGTGCTCTCCTTTTTCTGCACTGCTCCACCAGTAGCTCTCTTTCTTCTCCAGTGCACCACATTGACTCCCGCCTCGTCCAGGTTCTTGTCCTTTCCTGCAGCTCTCTTCCAGCCTGCTGTGGGTGTCTGCTGCTCAAACCTGCCTACAAGAAAAGTGCTCTTGGGTGAACGATGGTGCAAAACGTTTCTAACAGCAAGAGGAGGCTTTTGGAAAACTTTTCTGAAATAACTACTAGAAGGGCAGGGAGTATTCTTCCAAAACATGGAGTCACTTTTGCTACTTACCTGTAGGAGTGGTATTGATGGGTTGTCACCTAGTGCTGTGCTGCAAAGCTTTTTGGACCTGACTGCTACTGGAATTGCTGCCATATCTGTGTGGCATTTTATACCCAAGCTAATTAGGCCTGTTGAAAGGCCTGTCTCCTTTTCCAAGGCACAGCCCTGCTCTAATAGGACCATGCACATTTCTAGAGGCAGACAGGTCTGCTTACTGTTGCATTGGGCCCTGTAAATCTGTCAGTTCATTCTGAGCTGGCTGAGATAGCTGTTAATGTCGTTTATATTTTAGCTTTGTTTCACTAGTCCACACATAGATTTGTTTATCATTTTCTTCTCGTGCTTGCTTTTTAGACTGAATTTAAGAGGAAAGAAAAAAAATAAACTGTTGGTCAAAAATCTTCCATTTTTGCTTAAAAAGAGTGTTTGGGTTTTTTTTAATTCCCTGCTTACTACAATGATGCCATTTCTAGAAAAGGATAAGCAAGACTGAAATTATATTTCAATTATAGCATGTTAAATGCCACAAAATTTTTTTTGCCTTTTCTTCTGTGCTTAGAGAAAGATCTGAAGCTGAGAGAATGATGCAGAGTTCAAAAGTGCTCTTTTCAGAGTACTTTGAAAAATTTGAGAGCTGCTGTGCCCTGAATGAGGCAGTCTGGGAGAACTGAGCCATCAACATGCTCTCAAAAAATAATCCTTTTTTTACCAAAATTCATTATTTTGAGTAGTATTTCATAACATGTGTTAAGTCTTGCAGAAATGAGAGAGCCTGCTCGGTATTTGTTTTCATTACAGGTTTGTTCATAAAGCCTTAAGCTGCCATGTTAATATTAAAAACAAACAAACAAAAAAAACAAACCGAAAAAATCCTAAAGAAAGTGAATGTTTAATGTAGATTCTTTCAAGGGATTTACAAGACTTCTCTGCCATTTGGCATTGGTCTTCAAGAGGGACTTTAGCCATGTCAGAGTTTCAAAGTTCAGACTATTTGGCTGCCACTTAAGCAAATTATCCACCACAGAAACCAGAAAGCTGTTGTGGAGATCATAATATTTTTTTCCCTTTTTTTTTGAGGTTGAACTTGTATAAGTGCAGAACAACCATGAAAGGAATAAGTGCTTAGAAGAGTGATTTACCATTCTGTTAGTTAATTCAGGTTAATCATTAAAGCAGCTATCACAGCAGAAACTGAAGGGTAGGCATTGTCTTTGTGACCTCCTTCCTTCATATTATTCAGTGTTTTCATGTAGGCTGTCCATCTGTCTGTCTTGGCTATTATTTGGTTGTCACTGGTTTGGGTTGGGAATTGAGAGTTAATAAGATTGATACTCTTTGAATCTCTCCATTTTTAGTATTCATACATCCAGTTACAAAGGGAGAAGTATGGAGAGTTTTCAGCAGTGGCAAATCTCTACTTACTCAAGTTCCACTGGAGACTTTGCAGTTTATGAAACATGAAATGTCATGTTTCCTTAGTTCTTCGGACTAAGGAAAAAAGCTGGTGATTCTCTGGCTTCTGCCAAGGAGCTCTATTGATTTGAGTAGTTGAATACAAAGTTGAATACTCCTATTGTTACCTGTGAACTTTTCCTAAGATTCTAATAAGAGGGATTCTCCTGAATCTCCTGAGCATTTGGCCAGTGACAAGTAATTTCTGTAGTTTTAATCTGGCTGTTATATTTTTTAAAGTCATTCTAGTCCTAGATCTAATTTCAGATATTTCATGTCTCCACATGTCAGGAAAGTTACTTTTCATTAGTTATTATCAACATTGTGGAGGATTGGACTTTGTTTTAAGCCTTCATTTCAGAAATATTATTTTGTTGTGTTTCAAACTTAATGATTTGAAATGTTTTTCAGTAGGCACACCTAAGAATCATTTTAGGCAAGGCAACAGCAAACAAAGACCTTGCTGATAGAATTAGCAGCAGCCTGAACTTTTGCTCTAATCTCCAACAAAATTTGGACTCAACATCACTCTGCAGTTTGAAAAAGCTTGGTGACTTTTCTTTTAAACAAATTTACTCTTTTTTTTGGCTTCCTTGTTTAATCTGTGGAAGGGAATGGAAAGACCAAAATATTACTAGGAAGCTTGGTATTTCTAGCCCAGCCAAAACCACAAAGCTTTGGAAATTCAGCTTGAAAAAAACACCCATAGCTGTGATTAAACCTAGTGCTGCTTTCCTTCTGTGCTCCAAGCTTTCCTTTAGCTGTACGAGCCACTTGAGGATACAGGGAATGCAAAACTGGAATCCAGGTGTTGGACAAACACGAAAGAGACATCCATACTTCTAATTTTAAAGGCTCTTACTCATTTTCTGCAGCACTACCTGACTTGCTTTCTTGTTGGCCGAGCAGATCACAGCCCTTGTTGTTCAAGCTGTTAAAAGGATACTTTGTAGCATATGTATGTCTAGACATGTCTTTGCACTAGTTTGAAAGATAATAATCAACATAAGAAATTATAACCATCATGGTTAGGACAGCCACACCATGGTATTTCTTAAGCTCCATTTCTTTGACAAATCACTTTGAAAGGAGACTGAAATTTCCAGAGGCATTCCCATAAACTTTTGCACTTCCAATGTTTTCTCCAATTACTTTGGCATTTTTTGGTATTTATATAAGGTGATTTTATAGTATTGAGACGCAAAAGAAATGCGTAGCCTTTTGTTGGCATACAGCTGGTGTTGCTCTTTGAGGTTTGCCAGTGGGGAATTTCTACCATCTAATTAAATTGATGGTACAGGGTTTTTCTATATGTGTGCTTATATCTCTTGATTATATGTACTTGGGGGGTTTTGTGGTTGGTTTTTCCTTTCCATTCTCGTGCATGTGGGTGTTGTAAAACTCCTCCAGTACTGGAATGGAAAGTTCATTCAGTTGCTTGCAGTCAAGTGAATAAAGCTGTAAAATGTAAGTCTAAAACAGAGGGTTTGAAACAGTAAATTCATGCTGTTGCAAAACCTGCTATCAGAATTTGCTTGTAAAGATGGATGTTTTCTTAAACTATCGAAATATACACTAAATATAGCTTAAAATGATTCTGAGTACTAGAGGGGGGCACATAGCATTGTGAAAGTTTAGTATAAATCTATTAAAACTTTAATTATTTTTTCTTAATTATCTCCAGCCTAAGATTGCATTACAGTGAGCTACTGGAGATGATGTCTTTTGAGACATCAAAAAGCCAAACCCTAACTCTTGTCTTTAATGATCCTGTGTCACTTTGAGAAACTTTCTCATGACTAACTTCTGATTTGGAATTAAGTATGCATTAACAAATAAAGAGAGAAAGTAAGTAAAATCTGTAAGTTGGAGCTTGAGCTGAGGAAAGAAAAGAGTGTAAGTCAGAAAAAGGAAAGACAAACCATGCTGGATCAGATTAAAAGCAGGCCGTAAAGCCATCCTGTTTCAAATCACATGGAAATGCCATGAAGAAAGAAGGATTAAAAATACTGAGATGGAATAAAAGCTAATTAAAATAATTAAGAGAGTCTGTTTTCTAGCTTTGCTTTTCTTTCTCTTTCTATTTGTTTCTTTCCCCTTATCCTTCCTTTTTCTTTTCCTTCTCTCTCTCTATATAAAATGCATTTATAAAACACTTAAGACATACTTATAATTTGCCAGTAGAACCAAAGAAAAAATGTTCACCAATTCATCTGTCACCTTGAGTGAACAAGTTAAGGAGAATTTTATTTCTGCAGTGTGAATTCAAAACACTCCAGGGTATTTGTTCTTCATCAGGTAAAGTATTTAGGATTGGGCTCCTTTACCTATTCAGGGTTCTGGATGTGCATCCAATAATTTAGCAAGAAAGACTGAAAGTTACTCAGCTCATCACAGAGTTGATCCTTACTTCATTGATAATGCTTCCATAAGGCTAAATGAGAGGAGGAACCATGATCCACCTCTAGTTTTAGATTCCAGGTGTCCAGATGTTTTAAAGGGAAGCCTCGAAGTATGAACACATAGCCTAAATATGTGTCTAAAGCTTGAGTATTCCTGACTTGGCACCCTCTGTGGCTGTTTGTTAGTCTGAAAAATGCCAAGTTTGCAGAGTACTGGTTGGCCCAAAGGCAGCTGCACCAGCTGCAGGAAAAGAGTCAGCTGTGCTCTTACTCTGTTGTACACTGAAGATAGAAATATTGGAATCATTCAGAAACAGTGCTGATTGTTAAAGTAGAAAGCAACAGAAAGCACCTCTGTTAACTAAATCTTGTTGTTCCTTTCTATGAATGTATCTAGGTACCAAAACATCCAGAGAACCATCGCAACAGAGAGGACTGAAGATGATGCTGTGGTAAACAACAGGGTGGAGAGAGTTCCCACTGGAGGAGGAAGTGACTCTGAGGCAGAGCCTTCCCAGCCAAGCCCAGGTATGGGGCAACAGAGCTTCTAAGGGCATGTTCAGTGCCATTCAGTTCTGGGGAAATCTGCCTTTCCAGGGGAGACTAGTATTTTATTATATCAGGTTGCAAAACTTAATTAAAAAAAAAAAATCAACAGAACAAAACAAAAAACCTGAAGATACAGTTTTTAGATGTGAAGCTACAAGTACAAAGCTGGATACAAACGTTTCAGTTCTTCTTTAACAACTACTAAGACAGACAAAGCATTTTTACCTTAGTAAACAGCCATTTGATAAAGGCCACATTTGAAAGAGGCATTTTGCAGCTATTAGTTGAATACTATTCACTTAGTAGTTGCAAAAGTCTTATGTTTGTGGCTGTGTGATTTTTAGCTTGGGGCATTTGCAGTTTATTTTCTCAAGGCCTGGCTTCTGCGCTGCCACATTTGCCCATGTGATTGCACCTGCAGTGGCCCTGGCATTATCTAAGAAATACTTGTGGTTTCTAAAGGTGTGGTTTTGTGATAGCTATGAGCTGACCTAAGTGTGGGCTGTCACTGAAGAAGGCACAGCTGTGCTTTTGCTCACCACTAATTTATGTGACAGGACCCCATACCAGAGTGGAGAACTGAAGTGCCTGAAAAATAGCCTGACTTTTGTCATTGTCCTTGTCATTTATGGCCAGATTGGATCTTTCATCTTGCTTGTTACATAAGGAGACAAGAATGAGTGTCACTAAAAAGCAGAAGAGGAAGATGGGGACCCAAGCTACTCCTTTTGGTGGTAGTCACACTCCTACCAAAAATGTTTTCTCAAAACATTTGGGAAACCATAGTCTTAAGTGTTTGTTTCAAGAGGCCATGCAAAAATAACTCCCTGCTTTGTTACCACCAGCAGAATGATTCACCAATTCTCTTTCTTTGGATCACTCTTGCCTCCAACTAACTTTGTGTTCTGTATTGTCTGCCATGAGTAAATCCCACTTCTTGCAATCCTTTTGCCTTCCCGCTGTAAATAGGATTGGTAATGGGAAAGAGATAACACAGTATCTTGCTTGAATTTTCTTAGTTTTCTGTGTTGAATAAGTAAAATTACATAGAGAAATAAGAAACTTTTTTTAACAAGTTTAGAAAAATATTCAGTTTTGTTTGTTTTGATCCATTAGGTGTTTTTATCTTGAAAATCAATTTTGGCCAAGGATAGTTAGTATTTGATGCTCAAAGTTTCCTTGCCATGTTTTGTATTGCAATTGAAGGGAGACTTCTACCTACAGTGGATCTTATAAGGAGATCCCAGTTCTCTATGTTAGAGAAGTGGAAATGAGGTACACATTGTATTATTAGTACTTTATAAGTAATGTAGCCATTACTTGTAATATATATACTCATTTAGTATCATAGACAATAAAACAGTAATTTAATAGGAGTTGCCACCACTAAGTATTTATTTCATTTTATTATTTAGCATGCAGTCTTTTGTTTTAAACCCGAAGAGCTAATGAGTGTGATAAATCTTTCCATAAGTTACTAGGAAATGGTTTTTGCTATAGATAATTGCTTTGCTTTTAGAAGAAAACATCAATATTGTATAAAATTCCAAGAATTAGAAGGCCACTGATGGTGTAAACACATTAGGGAAGAAAAAGCTGCAGTATTATGCATTTGTTATTTGTCTTTTAATTTAAATGAAAAATTTCAGAAGGAATACAATTAAGGCACATTAATCCAGGTTCTAAACCAGTATAAATCAATTTAACTCCAGCAACTGATCCAGTCTGCAGTTTTAAATGGATAAAATAATAGGATGTGTGCAGCATGAAGAAAAAAAGAAGTTATAACTGACAAGAAAAACAACATGAAATTGTATTTATCCTGTTGATGACATCTGCATCCAATTTCTTGGGTTGCAAATAAAATGTGGCTTTATTTGAAAATGCCAAAACACCAAAGCCATAGTTCAATAGTAGGAAGAATTTTTCTGGTAGCTAAAGAGGGTGAGGAGTTTCTACCTCTACAGAGTTACATTCTGAATACTCAGTTCTGCTTCATTAATTGACACAGATTAAAAATAATTCAATTGTATCTGTTTTTTTATTTCTTTACCATACAATTCCCCAAAACCTTAGACTTGTCAAAAACAATGTAATTAAAATAAAGGGTAGTGCTGGATTGGGAGATTAGATTTCTCTAAAATCAGCTGCAGGGGAAACCAGAATGGACCTGGGTGACTGAACCAAACCATCAGCTGGTGAAAACCGCTGTGGTCACATTACATTTAGGGACAGCAGCACACTTGACACAGAGTTTCATAAGCTACAGTTCAGGAAACTATCCAGCTCCTGCACTGCATTGCTAACCATAAGGACATCCCTCAGTTTGCTAGCAGGATTGTCTTGGGAATGCCAAGGTAGGTGCATTGGGCAGGTGATGACTTTTTTATATTATCACTTTTGCAGCTGTTTCTGAAAGGTTAAATAATAGACTTTGCTTGGCACTACATTACTAAGATTCTGTGGCTTGTTTTTTGTGTCCAGAGATTAGGAGGGAAGGTTCCCTTTCTCCTGTGAATTCTCAAAAAATTACCTTGTTGCTGCAGTCTCCAGCTGTGAAGTTCATCACCAATCCTGAGTTCTTCACTGTGCTGCATGCAAACTATGTGAGTACTGATGATTTGCTCTCTCACACTACTGATTTTTGAGTCCCAGTGCTGTCCCCTAGACCTTCAGGGAGAATGCACAGTGAATCTGAATTGTGTGACTTGGGGATCAGTTGTCTTTTCTGAGCACCCGACCAGGCTGGGGACACTACAGCCAGGCTGCTCCAAGGAGGCTCTTACTGGAATTCTGCCTCACACAAGAGATTCCATGGTACAGAGAAGCCCATTAACATTATCCTTCCAGAGCAAGCAGGAACCCTTGGTTTCAGCTTGGTTGATTCTGTTGTCTGTTGCTGCAGGCAGTGAAGTTGTTGCCTTTTGATCCAACATCCTGAGAAGTCTTACTCAGATACCGCCAAGTCTCAGGGAAATAGAGGGAAAAAAATTAGCTTTTGCAATTTGCTTTCCCAAAAAGGGAGCAGGCATAACTGAGTAAAAGAAATACTGACTTGTGTCAGTGTAGCTCTTTTGGCAAAAGCACAAATAAAAACAAATTTTCAAAGTTAAAATAACTTTTTTTTCTGTTAGTGCAGTAAACCACACATTTTCTTGCAAACCTGAATGGGAGTGGAAAAAATGTAGTATCAGGAGGAAGCAGATAGGGAAGTCCCACGAGGAGATGCAGTCCTAGTTTGCCATATATGGAATATAGTTCAACAAGGCACCTAAACATGACTTCTGACTATTTGGAAAGTCATCCATTTCTGGGTAGCAATGACCTTCCTTTTCAAAAGGAAAAGAAAGTGAAACACTTTGAGAGTTGCCTCAGCACAGCCTCTTAGCTAACTGCAGACATCAGGTTCTGGCTGTGGCACTTTGTGGATTAAAGCCAGCCGTCCATATCCAAGCATCTGCCAGAGATTATCGCTCATGAGACAAGGAAGGGATGTATTCACTCATCTGACATTCCCTGAACTAGGTTATGGAGTGCAGATAATTTCTTCCATTGGCAGGGTGATATATGATGATTTATAGCTGGGAGCAGTGTAATTTCTAACCAGCACTGTTGTTGGAAAAATTAGCAACTGATTCCATAGTTGTGTAAAGAACAGCTCACAAGAGACTAAATCTCAATTTTATTAGTCACTGAATTTAAGAAAAAAAAAAAAGCAGAAAGAGGCCTTCAGTTTTATCTTAAAAACTTGCCTCTAATGTAAGAACCAAAATAATCTCTTAAAACATCTGTCAAATGGTCATATAGATACCACTTGTAGAGGAATAATGACCCACATAACTTTTGCCTTAACATGAATATAATATTTTAACCACAAACCCCTATTAAAATTTCAAGCTATTAATTATGCCACTGAAGTTAGGTTTGGAAAATATTATCCAGCAGTTAGAATTAAAAAGGAAAGGCTCTCATTTTTCAGATATTTTATTTTCACGAAGAGATAAAACTACATTGCACTGCTTATTTCCCTAATGCAACTTAGAGATATTCAAGACAGTCATTGATCATACATTAGATCAAAATACAACTTTTGTTAGTAGTAGGCTGGGATCTTAAAAATCTGTGACCATGAAGCTTTCCTGGGTTATAAGCAGGTCATATCTTCAGGGCAGAGATCATATCTCTGAGATTTCATAACATTTACCAACCCTTGTCATAATTAGGGACCCTGTGCTACAGGGAGCATTCTCAGTGGTGTCACCACAATAAATCCTTACATAATAAAGATTATACCTGTAGATGTTTTATTGCATTATGGTGGTTGAAATGCACTAAAAACATATAGAAATTGAGAATTCAAAGCTGCTGGGTCAGATTCTCTGGACATGTTCCAGGTCTGCACACTGGAGCTCACTTCACTGAAGACAGCAGTCCTCCAGTGGTCCTTTATTACTCTAATGAATAATTCAATTCTTGACCAGCAAACCAAGACACTTATTTTCTCTCTAGTGAGAGGCTCAGGAGATTTTTGTGAAGTTTCCTGCTCTGCCTTGAGGAGCTTTTTCCCTGAAGTGAAGGATACAAAGAGTATCCTGTGAATGGGCCTGTGTGTTGTCAGCACAAGTATTATTTTGTGGTGCTCTGTCACTGAACACACTGTAACAACAAATACAGTTCGTTGGGCCCTTATTCTGCAATCAGATCAGTTCAGTCCCTTGAGCTGCCTCAGGCCACATTCCTCTAAGAAATGTATTTAATGCCCATTGTGAGATACAGCTCCCTGCCTGAGGGGTGGCATGTGTCCATCTGAAACTCTTTGTAGTCATCACAGAAACAAATAGCAGAAACAAATACTCCATTCCAGGAAACAATTCATGTCTTCTAAAAATAGTCAATTAAAAAGTGTCTGCTTCTGTCCTGTGGCTGTATAGTCACCATAAAAAAGATAGCAAGCTCATATGGGGACATCTGCACTGGGGTTCTCTTAAATTCATTACTCCTATCATGCACATCTTGATATCAGTTATAGCAAAAATAGGTGTTCACAGCTGTCTTTGCATCTCTCTGGCACTGTCCAAGCACACAAGCAGTGTTTCTGTCGACCAGTAAAAGCAATGAACGGGGCAACTACATGCACCTTGAGTGTGTAATGTTTCAGATGACCATTTTTGAAGTAAAACAACAGTTCTTGCACAAGCTAACTGTGCATAATGTGCGGGATGTTTCACTTTTCAGATTGGTATGTCTTCATTAGGCATGTAAAGTAGTCGTTCAAATCAAAACAATGAGATGAAGTGTTTCTTGATTCTAACAGGATTTGTTTCAGTTCTTTGGGCATATGGCCCATGAAATAACCAAATATGTTTTGACATCAGAACTGGGTTTCTTTCCTTCTGTTATCCATCTCAGAGTGCCTATCGAGTCTTCACCAACAGTACCTGCTTGAAGCATATGATTCTGAAGATTCGTAGAGATGCTCGTAATTTTGAGCGGTATCAGCACAACAGAGACCTGGTAAATTTTATCAACATGTTTGCTGATACCCGGCTGGAGCTTCCTCGTGGCTGGGAGATAAAAACTGACCAGCAGGGCAAGGTAAGAGTGCCAACAAAACTAATCACTTGTTTATCACAGCACTGCAGACTAGATGATTATTAAAAGTTCCTTCCTTCTTGACTCAAAATCAGTGAATATTCGGTTTAAACAACACAAGCAGCAAGGAGAGTTATTTTAGAAGCAAGAAAGGCTTCAAAGTTTCAAGGCATTTCTAGCTTTCTCTAGAATATTGTACCAAAGCCAAGGCAGCATTGGACTGACAACAAAGTTTGAGCCAGAGTGGTAGATCTGTTGTGACTGCAAAATTTGACTCAGTGTCTCTGCCTCAAATGATGCTTTGCTGACTGACCTCTGGAACCACCAAATAAGTTAAAGCAGCATTTCCCAATAATATTATCCTCTCCTGTGGAGGGAGCAGAAAATATTCATAAAGAAGAAATTCCCCCTGCATCCTCAGAACAAGCCCCTTGGAAAACCATAGCTTAAAGATAAGAAATGGCTTGTGAAATGACGAATACAAAAAGGAATCCAGCTTCTCCCCCTTAGTAGACCCTCTTATCTATCTTCAATATTAGTGGTTCATTCTCTTTTAGTATCCATAGGCTAGCTTTGAATGTGAAATCCCTCGAGGATTGGTTAGAATGTAGAGTTCCCTTGGTAATTGGTGCAAACTGCAAAACACTCAAAAGATATAAAAACCCCTGTAAAACAATAACCATGGTATATGCTAGATAGGATGCCTTCATAGAATAAACTATGGATTTGTGCCTTTCTGCATATTCCAGTCTCTTCACTCTGCTGGTCTGAGAGCTCACCGCCAGCCAAAATTCTATCTGGGCAAGGCTCAGGAACGTGCTCCGTTGCTGAGGGCTGCAGAAGCAGTCTCAGGGATCCCAAAGGGACCCCAAAACCCCACCAGTGACACTCTCCTATCTTGCTTACATCATGGCCACTGCACATGACTTTGGCCTACACAGCTTCTGGTATTTTCTAAGAGCTATTCTAGCTTTGAGTAGGCCAGTCCTGTTGTTTGCAGGTGCCTTCCATGGACTATACTTACCCCAGGCATTTCTGACTTATAGATGCCAGTGGTTTTCCTGCTGTTTTCCCACAATACCGTCACAGGGTTGGCAGTCTTCATATTAAAGAAACCACTGTTCCTTTGTGTTTCAGTCTTTCTTCGTTGACCACAATAGCCGTGCTACCACCTTCATAGATCCCAGGATCCCACTGCAGAATGGGCGTCTCCCAAATCACCTGACTCACCGGCAGCATCTGCAGCGACTTCGTAGCTACAGCGCTGGAGAGGTAACTGCACTCATATCAACTCAGGAACTTTTGACAGCAGTCGTCTCCAGAATTAAAATAACTGTTATATTTTAAAAGCATTGAAACGGACTGTCTTGTGAATGTCTTATCTTCCAAAGACAATAAAAGGGATATTTTTGTGTTTCTAAAGGATTTATTTCAGAGCTTGTTGGTTTATATTTTGATAGTTTTCAGATTAAAATAATAAGCAAGCAAAGCATAACTGAAGTGAAGTGATGACAGAATAGGTTTTAAAAGAAAAATCCATATTTGACATCCTGGCCTTGCTTTACTAAAGTTATTTTGGTACCTCGTATGTGTCTTCATTCCCTGCTGTGACATTGTACTCTGAAAAGATAGACTCCCTGGAAGTAGTGCAATAATGTGTGCTGAGGTTTGCTTTCCCAGTTTCAGTCACATTAAATATATTTCCTATATATCATGGATATGATTTTTAGCACTGAGGACCAAAGACAGGATTGAAAGAAGCCTAAGTACTGTGTTTGTATTGTGGATTTAAGTAGGAAAAGATACCAGCAATCAGATTCTTCATATAGCAAATCCATACAGTTAAACATTTGTAAAAATTGTTGCTGAATAGAACTAGAGATGAACTATGGTGAAAGGATCTTTCTCTTCCACAAAAACGTCCAGAGAAATGCTTGTGAAATTAGCATCAAAATTTATTACAGCAGATCCAGTCTGAATATCTCTCACTGACAGGTGGGTTGGGATCAGGAGCTGAACAGAGTGTGAGGTCAGTTCTTCAGGACCAAAGGCAAATCAGGCCTGAGTAGCTTGGGCATGTTTTCTCCATCTTGGGTAAATACAGCACCATATTTTCCGAAGATAGAATTATATCAGTGGATCTGTTTCAATCATATCTTCCCACCAGCTTAGCAACTTCCCTCTGCCAGCAGCCTTCTGTTAAGTGTTCCTGCTGTGATTGAATTACTAGCACAACTGTGATAGCCACCTGCACCATCATTCATGCTTGGGCCCATGCTTGCCTGAGGCTTGCTTGCAAATTCACCGTGTCAGGGACAGAAACACCACTGAGCAGCTCAGATGACCTAGCCAAAAAATACACTTGGTTTTGCAAGCACTGGCAAGGCTGGCAAGGAGCAATATGCAATAAACCCCAAAAAACAGTACAGGGTAGGATGTCAAAAGTATTGAATACTTTTGAGTAATGATTATCTGAGGAAATAAAAAACTGTTCTTTGAGGCTACTGTTCTGGCATCATCAGCCAATGAAAAAGTGATGATGGTCACCTCTCAGTCTTGGTGACCCAGGTCTCACAGTGCTTCTATGCTCTTATCATAGCCAAACTTCATTGCTGTAGTCAAGTAGCTTCTCATTTGGGAGTGTCACCTGCTCCACTGGAAGGACTCCCATTGATTTCCAAGGACTTTGGATTGGTGCCTAAAAGTCCCTCTCATTTACAAGGAAAATATTCAACCCTTTGCAGCTCAGCTCATTTATTAAGAGCCTTATGTTCCATACCATTTCCTCCAAGTGCATTTGGATGTTCTTTGGCCTATAAATCATGTCTGTAGACTCACGTGGCGCTTTGTCCTGGCCATGTGTCAGCTGTCTGCAGCCTTGGCGGTTTCTTTGCTGAGCAGATGGTGTGGCCTCTGGAAGCTGTCACCAGGACAGTATGAAGTACCACAAAGGACAACTCACCAGTTTTCAATGTTATGTACATGTGTCAAAGGAGCCTGAAGGACATCAGAATAGTGAAGTTGAGGTTGCCAGAGAGGGCACAGAAAAGAGCCAGGGTAATGAAATAAAGGATCTCTGCAAAAACTTCCATTGTTCTGTTTAGATTACTGATATTAAATGATATTATATATTAATTTGAAAAAAAATTGCTACAAATTCTTTATTAGGCACTTAAGGTTATAATTCTTTTACAGGAGAAAGGGGGTTTTTGCTACTCTTAGTTACCTGGTTTTTGGAAGAAAATCCAGGTAGCTGTAGTGGCCATCAGTAACTAAAGGACAGGTTACTAAGTGATTAATTTCTTCTTCTGCCACTGCTATAAACAGAACAGTTTGTAAGCACTTCCTATTCCCTCTAAAGGACTTCCCATCTGCAGTGAAAATCAGCATACATAATTACAGGGTAGAGATTTTAAAGATGGCAAGAGAAAGGAAGCAGTGGCAGCATTCCTATCCACAATGGATAGGCAAGAGGTGATGGTTAGCAAGAAGAGCAGAGAAGGTGCTGGAATATATGGCAGTATATAAATCTCCTTAGCAACTTAAACCACAACAAGCAAGTAGCAGGATTCAAACGGGCCTCTGAAATCCAGCAGGGATATAAAACCCAGGAAAAAGTATCACATCTTGAAAGGCTCCTCTGGTAGTTTGGACTTTCCACTCTGGTTGCAACATCCCAGTATCAATTTCAAAGCTGTTAAAACCTAACATAAATCTGTCAATTACTCTGCACTACATGAACCAGGTCACTAAATCTTTAGAGGGGTCACTCTTTATTTTTTATTTGAGAATAATGTGCTAATCAAAATTTAATTATTCAATTAGAAAGTCAAAGTAGATGAAATGATTGTGACTGAACACTAAATTGGAGCAAGCAATTGTAGTCTATTAGCTAAGAGTGGGAAGAGAATTGTTAGCAAAATGGAAGTTAATTAGAGGGCTGGGGATTTTCCTGTTGTGTTGCCAGAGAAAAATGTTTGGAGGTGTAAATGTGCAAAGACCAAAAACAGCATGTGCAATGCCTAGGGATGGTGGTGAAAAGAAGTACATCACCACTTTACTGAGGTGTGTATAGAACTGGATTCTTACAATCTAGATGATTTTAGCTCTTAAACCAGAACTGGGAAGATGGGAAGAAGGGAGTGAAAGTTTCTTTTCACAGGCACTATGGACATTTCTTTCCAAAATTCTTGCTCTGGGAGAAATATGTCCAGGCACTAGAAAGATAACAAAAGGAATGGTGACAAGAGCAAGAGGAGGAGCCAAGCCCAGCCCCCAGGTTGGGCAGAAGTTCCATGCAGTTCCCAAGTGATGAGCAAATACCATCTGGTGCTAATTTTTATGGGAGATACATGTTCAACTCCTCTGTTACTCCTCCCTTTACTCCTTTCTATCTTCTGGTCAGTAAAATGATATGTAGCAACAAGGGCATAGGATTTATCGTTGTCAAGGATGAGTCAGCAATCACCCTTAAAAACAGGCTCACCTACCATCCACATTCCCTTGCAAATCTGTTCTACAAGGACCTGAGGAATAGGCATCCTCACCTGAACCCCTGGGCTCCCTGGAAGTGGATAAGCTGAGCCCAGCAATGCCTTTGCATTGCACACACATCCTAACTAGTACAAATGGTCACGGGCCAGTGTGTGATCCTGGCTGTGCTGCCCACAGACAGCCCAAGGAGTGGTTGCTCCCACAGGGCCCTCGTGCCCGCTGTGGCAGTGGATCATAGGGAACCTCCTGCACCTAAGGTTCCTCCCCTGTGCCATAGCACGGAGTGAATGCCAGAAAGGCCACAAAGTGCTTGCTGGGGTGGATGCCTGGGTCACAGGGGAAAAGCTGCCTAAGCCTGAGCTAAACTTTCCTTGTGAGTTGGCCTGTGGGGGTTTGAGGGGGGAGACAAAGGCAGAAGATGGATGCAAGTTAAATCCTAAAGGAATGATGGAGCGAAACATTCGCCATGCACTTGTACAGCAGTTTTGTGTTTTAAATTACAGTGTGCTTGATTAGAATAGTTATTGTTTAACCTGTGTGTTGACATGTATCGAATGCATTGACTGGTATCTTGTTACATGTATGCATTCTAAGCTTTACAGGTTCCAAAAGGCAGATTGCCAGGCACATTTAACTTCCCAGGTTTTGTGTATATCCAGTTGGAAGACCTGGAGTTTGGCTGTACCACTGAAAATAGGTTGGCACCATTTGCTTGGATGCAGAGCTAAGCATTTAAAACATTGAAGTAGGGGCAATTTCTTCCTGAAGTGGTTGCCAAATGCTGTAATTTGTGCAGTGAGAAGGAGCAGCTATTAGCCCAGTAGAGTGGCAATTGGAATTCATGATGTATCTTGTCCTGATGCAGTCTCACACTGTAGTCACAGGACAAGGAGAGTGTCTTAAACTGAAAGAGGGTAAGTTGAGATCAAGTATTAGGAAAAAACTCTTTACTGTGAGGGTGGTGAAGCACTGGAACAGATTGCCCAGAGAAACTGTGGATGCTCCATGCCTGAAGTGTTTTAAGACCAGGTTGGAGGGGGCCATAGCAACCTGTTCTGGTGGAAGGTGTCCCTGCCTGTCGCAGAATGTTGCAACTAGATGATCTTTGAGGTCCTTCCCAACCCAAACCATTCTGTGATTCTTCTCTTGGCCTCACTGTGGCTGTATTCAGGAGGAAAACATGAGAGACAGGTGGGTTCCTCTCAACTTTTACAAGTCCCCAAAAAGTTACCCAGCAAGTAATACCTTAATGCAAACATTGCCAGATGTCATTGTTTGGCTTTTAATATCTTCATACCGAAGTGCTTTCCCACCTTTTAAGAAATCTGCCTTCTTGACATGATTCCCTTCACTAGGTAGAGTATTTAGAGCAGTGGCTTTCTTTAAGTGCTTCAGTTAAGGGGCAGTTAAAAATTTTCTTGTTACTGCTCTTTTTATCAGCTCTTTGGATTATGTTCTTCTTTTCAATGTATACAATTCAGTTTCTGGTTATGCAAGTTAGGCAGCCTTCTGGGACAATACAGCCTTTATCTGTGCTGTGATCTACATAGATACACCTTCCTCATGTTACTTCCAAAATTAAATTTCCCTTCAACAATGCTGAGTGAACATTGCAGCATTATGGGTTTTTTCTCTTTTCAAAAACATTGCTGTAAAAACCTTGAAGTAATGCAGTTATGCTAAAACAAGACGTTTGATACTACAGAGTGTGTAGTGTGATACTACAGAGATTTTATTTTTGTTGAACCAGAGAAGTCCATTACTGCAATACCTGTATCAACATCCATTTATTTTTGGATTCTAGTGCCTTCAGCACTGAGGAGGTGTGATAGCTATGGATAATGGTGTACCTTCATTTGGAAGCACTGAATTATTTGCATTTTTTAAGTTGACTGGAGTATAAAGCTATAATTTTCATGCGTGCTTTCTGTCCCTCAGTCAGCATCACGGTTACAGAAGTAAAGATGACAAATCTTGTAACTGACTGGTGAGCTACTGGTTGTTAGTTTTGATCATTCTTTTTCTTTTCCCTGATGTTGTAGGCCTCTGAAGTCTCTCGAAACAGAGGAGTTACTCTGTTGGCCAGACCAGGCAATAGTCTTGTAACAGCTATTCGAAACCAGCACCATCACGAGGCATTACCTCTGGGTGAGCCAAGTTGGTTTTTTTTTTTCTTCTCGAAACAATGCTTACAAAGGTGGGTTTTGGGACTTCTCATCAACTGCATGCACTGCCTCGTGTTGCCCTGTGTCTCACTGGCAGTACAGTCAGTGTGCTCCTGCAGAGTCATGGTGACATGGCAAATGTAGCCTCTGGGTTTTTTTACCTTTTCCAGCTTACAATGACAAGATTGTTGCATTTCTACGCCAACCCAACATTTTTGAGATGCTGCAGGAGCGTCAGCCCAGCTTGGCCAGAAACCATGCACTCAGGTACTGCTTTTTTCCAGACTGCTGTACCCTGCTTCCAGGAAGAGCTTTTTGTAGTGGGGAAAACCAAATTATAGTAACTCTAGTACAAAAGATGAACTTGAACTGTCACCATTAAAGAGTAGATGGGAACGACCAGGATCCATGTGGTTACTATAGTTACTTTACACAGGCATCCAAGAAGTAAGAAGAGACAAAATAAATATAGTCAAATAGTGATATGTCTAATTTCTATTCTAAGTATTACTGAATAGCAGAAACCCCATCTTCACCTGCAATTATCACTTTGCTTTTCAGAAGATAGAGTTAAAAGAGTGTTTGGATGGAAGTCAGCAGCAGAACTCCAGTAACTCCAGCAGAGCCAGGATTTTACTTCATGATTGGATTTACACCCCTGTCATGGATATAGTCACTCTAGATTTTATAAAGAAATAGGAGCATGATTATGAAGTGGATTGTACTCTTGTCTTTAATCTTTCTCACTTGACTTAAAGGTAGTCATTTCCAAAGTAGTTAAATTGTGTCTTTCTTTTTATTAAGCTCATTCCTTTCCTATTAGATTCCTTAAAAACAGAAAGAAAACAGAACCAATCACCAGTATAACTTAAACTTATTCGAATTAAAAAGTTTGAATTAACTATTTTTGGCCAAGAAGTTAAGCTGACATTAATCAATGTCAGTGATGCCCATATTTACCAGCTGAGAGTTTGACCAAGAGTTTAGGTTGTACTGTGCTGTACAGAGGTGTGGCTGCAGGACTGCTGAAGAAGGAGAGGACCTCCAAATTCCTACTGTGTGCTTTCTCCTGGTAGCCTTACTGACTCCTTATTTAGCTCTGAAGGCCAGACAAAGAATTCTTTGGGTGTAAGGATTAGACTTCCCTTCTGGAGGAATTGATACGTGCAAATAAAATAAGAAATAGAATGAAAAATACTCTCAGTGTTAGAGATGTACATTTCTGTAACTGAGAATTTTTTATCTTCACCATCAAATTATTCCAGACTATTTTTTTTTTCTCAGCTGTAACTTGACTTCTCATTTCCCAGAGAACAGATAATGCTTTTATCTCCTTTTGAGCAGAGAGCAAAATTGATCAGTGATAGGCACTGGACAGCTTAGCCAGTGCATAATGAGATTTGTAACAGGATATTGAGCCTTTTGCCTCCAGGTCTTTGTTGATTATAGCTTGGGCCAAGAGTGATCCAAGCTACTGTGTAATGATCATGCAGCAGGTATAAAGCAAATTCCTAGGATGCAAAAATCCGTCTTTTATGGACCTTGGTTGCAAAGTCCTAAAGCATATCCTTGACTTGAGGTATATTTTGACTTAATACTAGAAAAAAAATATTTGGACACTGCAATGCTTTAGAAGCATACTAATAGGCTGGGGTGCAGATGTATATCTTCCATGATCCTAATCTGCTGATAGGATGCTATCCTATGTTTCCTAGTCCTTATTAACAAAAGGTATGATTTTACACATGGAACACATTTTATACTGTATACCGTCTGTGTGTTTAATTCATATCAAGTATATGTTAGAGTGTTATTTTCCAGATGGAACTGACAGAGGGAAAGGAAGTGATATTACTGCAAGTTGTGTTAACAAAAGGTGCTATGTTGTAGACTTACACAAAAAATCTGTGGTTGGTGACTTGATGAAACAAGTACACATGAAACTGGAGGACTAAGAATCACTCTGTTTTCTAAAATAGGGAATAAAATCTCTTTCTTTTGCATCAGTAAACTGAATGATAGAGATTGAATTTTTTTGTTTGTTTGTTAGGAAGATTAGAAAATTAATCAGGCATATAGGATGTTTGCCATTTTTATAAGGAGATAAACAGGAACTGGCAAAATACCAAAGAATAACAGCTCTATGCACAGGTCAAGCTGGGATAATGGCATGGTTTTTTTCTGACTTTGTCTTTTTTTCTTCTCCTCTCCTTAATATCACTTATGTTTCAGGGAGAAGATCCATTACATTCGGACAGAGGGTACACATGGGCTTGAAAAATTGTCGTGTGATGCAGATTTAGTAATTCTGCTGAGGTAATCAATTTGATCAATAGCATAATATCATTAAATACAGTACCAGAGAAACTATCTGGCTCTTTTTCAGCATAATTGAAAATATTTTATTAAATCAGGTCATACTGATAACCATCCAAAATTATTCAGCCAGAGTTTATCTGTCAATTTGTACTTCCTGGAAGGCAGCCTCCATCAATGCAGTAAATCCAGCCAGCTCAGTCAGTATGGTTGTTACCATCCAGTAGCAGATAAAAAAGAATCAGGTCAAAATGTTTACTTTTAATGGAAAAAAGTCTTGTTTTTAAAGAAACACAAGAGAGGAAAAAATCCCTTGTCTTTCTCACTACAACAATGTAACTGCTCATGAAATTGATGATTTTACTAAAGCAGTGCTGCCACACGTGCATGAAACCTCAATGCCCAGTGCAGTGGGGATTATTTGGGTTATGAAGATAAGGCTTCAGTTTGTACTGGAACCAGAGAGCTTGGTCTTTAGGTCCTACTTCTTCTCAGTGCAGCTAAGAACATATCTTATTATCTTGGTCTGAGATGGGAAATGTTGCATTACCCAGGTGGGGTTGGTGTGCTGTAATAGCACTGCCTAATGCAAGAAGTTTGCAACTTACTCCCATCATTTCAATTCAAGGAGTCAAAGCACTGAACTACATGAAAATGACCCAAGGAAAACAGCCTGGGAGACAGAGCATGCATCTTTACTTCTCTCTGTTAGTGTGTTGAAGGTGTTCCTGTTTCCTATGTAGCCTTACATCTTTGCTCTCCATCAGTGGGCTGAGCTGTCATGTTAACATGAAACATCTATTAAAATTCATTTTGTTCTTCATTGCTAGTGATCAGGCTGTCTTTGGGAAACCTATGGACTTTTTAGAGTTCATGGCTTCAGAGATGCACCCAAACATCTGACGCAGTGAATTTGCACCATACTGCATATTTACATTCTTTCTTGTGATGAATGTGAACTAAATATCTCCCTATGACTTTTTGCATGCAGCCTTTTTGAAGAGGATATCATGTCCTACATACCATTGCAGGCTGCCTTCCATCCAGGTTACAGTTTTTCTCCTCGCTGCTCACCCTGTTCATCACCCCAAAACTCTCCAGGTAAGGAGATTGGGAAATTAAGACAAAACCTTGCATTTGTCATATTTCTTCTAATAAATAGAAAGGAGCAGATTCAGAGCCAGCATCAGCTGTCAGCCTGCTAATTCTGGTGCCCACTCTGAATCTCATCCCAGCTGCTTTTTTTGCTGGATCAGTTTCCATTGCTGCTAAGTACCTATTGAAGTGTTAGCAGTAGCTGAAACACAGATCAGAATTTTCCCATATGGAAGAAGGTATTTTCCTGCTTTTTATATCATTGGAAACGATTAGGATAAGAGAATGGTATACTCCAAGCATAAGTCACTGATATGGAAGCACATTAATTTTATATGACAGCAGCAAAGAGCACCTTCCAAATTGAGGTTGTGTTGCAGCACTTCCGGTACCCCTATAAAGTTCAGTCTCCTCCACTTGATGTTCCAAAAACTTCTTTTCTTCCCAAGGCACATCTATTTTGAGACCTGAGGGGATCATCTTCATCATCTAGCCTGACCTCCCGTGTTGAACCCATTAATTTAGATTCAGCAGAATCTATTTTCCAGAAAGACATGCTGTCTGAGAAGGTTATTTCCAGCTGTGCTATGTCTCTGCAGTTATTGTTTATGCTATAGAAATTTGAGGAGTAATGTCTCCGTTTTTCCAAGAGACACAACCCCCACCACAGTCTCACTGAGTGGCTGTGTCCAGTAGCCATTTTGAGAGAATCAACAGAGATCTGAAGAAATCCATTTTTGGCTGAGCTTTTTGAGCATGCATTTAAATTATCTGATTTCAAGCAAAATTAGTGGACAAGAGAAGTTCAAATTTTGGATGTGGCTGTGGAAAATGGAAAATTTTTTTTATGTGAAGGAGTTAAATGTTAAACCCTTCTCTACAGGAGAACAGTGTTCTGTCAGAATGTCCTATTTTCATTAATGAGTTTTAACACCGTTGTTGATACAAGTTCCCCTTGTCTATATCAGGACAGGTCATAAGCAAGTCTTATACAGGACAAAAGAACCCAAGTATATGGCACAAATGTGACTTAGGAGACTGTTCTTGTGAAAACACAAGGGCAAATACTCATTTCCAGACACACACAGTCTACTTGCTAATTTCTGTCCTGGTTATAGAGCCCATGAGAACGCCCCTTCTCTTATTTCCTGGGGGAAAACAAAAGGCTGACAGAAGAAAGAAGTGTTGCAACTGATTCTCTTTGTGCTGCATGTAAATACATCTTTCTGTTTTACCAGCAGTAATGTCCTTTCCTTCTGGCAACCATGATATTTTGGGCTCCCACTAAATGTAAATTTTTCCTTTCCTGTGGTTTGCTGCCAGATTTCTCATAAAAGGGCTGGTTTTTATTGTCTTTTTTAATGAGATAGGAAAATGGAATTTCATTAATCCATTCTTTGGCCTTTTATGGCATGGCACTTGTTTATACAAAAAGAATAATCACTTACTTTGAGAATGCAGCCTTCAAAACAAAACAGGTTCCAAATTGCTGAAAAATCTGTTGTATGTGTGAATTGTAATAGGGAAATGTAGCATTTCTTGCAGACAGAAATCCTTTTTGATGCCACAAAGGGGTTTTGTGTTGATAGCTGGAAGTGTTTAATATACAGTCAGATTAACACAGGGAAACCTGACTCCCAGCTTGGCTGGGGTGCTAGGCTCTGGTGGGAAGCATTGCCCCAAGTTTCAGAGGTTTAATCCTGCCAAGTAAGGAGATGTATACAATGCATAGGAGAGAGTGCACTTAAAAGTGAAAAAGGGAAAGTAAACCTAAATGCCACTGACCATGAGAGGCAGATGCACGTCAGTCTTTCTCATGCCCTTCTGATCCTTCAGTTTCTATTCAATCACAGCTAAAGGCAGCACAAGGGCACACACAAGGTGAGTTTAACAGTACTTTTGGTGAAGAGGATACAGTCTCTGAAAGTTTATTACAATCACTGAGTTACAGGAACTTACAACTCTACTGATACCAGATAGAGCAGAAATAACACTGAGTGCACTGTATACCTGCAGAAAGTTCCTAACACATTTATTAACCCATTCTATCTGCAAAAATAAGCTGCATGATTTGGAAGAATGTCAAGCCCCTTACACCTCAGGATGCTGTTCATTTTCCCTCAAGGGCTGCAGCGAGCAAGCGCAAGAGCACCTTCTCCCTACAGGAGGGACTTTGAAGCCAAGCTGCGCAATTTCTATCGAAAACTTGAAGCCAAAGGATATGGGCAAGGTCCAGGGAAAATTAAGTGAGTATTAAAATCACTCAGTTAGCCTAATGGGGCATAACTTTGTGGTTTGTCATTCATTATCCATGAAGACGGGGATAGGGAGTGTAAAACACAGTGGATTTGCATTTTTTACATAACCATCAGGGAAAGATGAGATCTTCATATAACCTGCCCAAGAGTGACGTTCAAGAGGCTTTTGTGTGGAAGTTTTACTTCTTAAAGATTCATATTCTCTTATACTCCCATTTCCTACCTATTTAACAGGGATATTCATATTCCTACCTATAATTTGCCAGTAGCAGAATTATCCTTCCTGGCACACACCCATGATATATTAACAACAGCTGTATCATTGTAATGGTGGGATGACTCCAAATTCTTTGGATCTACATATCAGTATAACTCAGGACCAGAACATGATCCTACAGAAGTTAATCTGTTCATGCAGGTTTAGCTTTCCATAGTTCTTTGTGTTGGTAGCCCTCCTGGATTTGAACTGGAGAGATTTCTGCCAGTCTTCATGTGTTTGGGGTTCTCTGTCATATGATTGTGGCGTTTCTTCCCATACATCTTGTTAGTTAGGCTTTTGAGTCTGTACCTACTTGTGCTCAGTCTAGTTATCCAACTTTGCCAAAGGGCTGTGTGTTTCTAAGGTATTTCCTGGGCATCTGGTTGAATTTATGCCTCAGGTTGGCTTCCTACCAAAGGACATCTGTTGTGGAAAAAATAAAAGTATGAAGCCAAGCAATTTATTCCAGGCAAACGTTGTCAGCAAAAATAATCTTACAGAGCTGAGGAGTATTTACCCCTTTTGGTGTCCTGCTAAATGGGTCCAAGGCAGACACAAAGTATATTTTAGGTCTGTTTTAAAATGTCCATGAACATATGAACAAGAAGGGTTTCTTGCACAGATGGTGTGTAAAAGTACTATTCATTAAGTTGTTTTAGAGATTAGTAAGGGAATGAGAGATGTGTTGTATAAACAGAGGCTGATACTCCCTTTGCTTCCCCTGTCACAGAAGCAGTATTTCCATGGACATTTACTGGATTAAATCCAGGAAGTGTTGGGGGCCAATTCCAGAAAACTGTGACTTCATATACACAGGAAACTCACAGCACCCTCTACCATATAAATTTGTATGTATGGGTTGTTGCAGAGAGTCTTAGCAGTAAAGCAGCACTTTGAACCTAATCATGGTATTGTGAAGGAATTCGCTTTGAGGCACATAGAGAAGCCGATGGAAGAACTCCTGAAAACCTGTAGTGGTCAAGGAGCACGTGCACCAGCAGATGCCATTTTATTAAATTCTCTGAGAACTAATGTCTCTCTTTACGTCTGTTGTTTACCTTCAGCCTTACAAGCTCACACAAGACTCAGTCATGAGATCTTTGTTTCTGCTGCCCTTTGCAGGTTAATTATACGGCGTGACCACTTGCTGGAAGGCACCTTCAACCAGGTAATGGCGTATTCACGCAAGGAGCTCCAGCGCAACAAACTCTACGTCACGTTTGTCGGCGAGGAAGGGTAGGGAACCACACAGTGCTCTCGGTTCTGAAGTAGCTGTTATGTTGCAAAACACCAAGTTGACTAAGACTGAGCCTCTCTTGTTATGTAGTGTTTCTTTGGTTTTGTTTTACCTCTGAGTAAGTGATTCATCTTAATCAACTCAAACTTTTTTTAAAATAGCAATAACAATAATGCTTTATTTACCTATAACACCTTCTATCTAAATGTCTCAAAGTGACACTTTAAGTGGTTAAATCTATTGTCATCTTGTTTGCCATAGATATTTTGACAGCTGGAAGGGAAAAGTCAACTGCAGGCCAGTGTTTATATACTGAACCAGTCTCAGGACTATAGTTAGAGACCAGACCTTTATCCACTTTGTTACTCTAACTCCTCACAGTAGACTTGGTTTTGCTTTAAAATTTTTTGCTTTGCATGCCAACTAATGATCATTTGTTATCCATATGTGGATTTCTTGCTTCCATCTTAAGTGAGAAACATGAATGCTGTTTAGTCCTTAAAATTTAATTCATGCTGTTGGAATCTGAAAGCAATAGAAGTTTCTTGAGAAAGCCTTTTCTCAGGAAGCTTTCTACAACTCTTACAATCCATGAGCCATTCTTGTATGATGAACACCAGTCCCTGACCTATTGTTTTCAAATGTAAACACAACCTTTCAAAGCCTCCATGGCTCACCTCAAGAGCTGTGCTGTAATTGAGGCTTAATCCACATGCTTTTATAATGGAAAGACGTTGTGTGCATGTTTCCAGTGTGCCAGATTACAAAGGCATGAAATTGTATTTCAGTAGCTTTGCATGTAGTTTCTTTTTTTCAAAAACCACATATGTAGGATTTCAGTTCCAAAGGTACCAGACAGTACCTGAGGCAGCTCTCAACATGTCCAGCAACTGCAGACACTCTCAGCTCTGAGGTGTCATGGCAAGTGAAGGGCTTCTGTCTCTTGTCTCAGGACAGGTTACTTCCAGTGGAAAACAGAAGTTGCCAGTCTCAAAGAGAGTCACTCGATGACCTCAGTATCAGGGGTTTTTTCACTCTTACTTTTTATTCTCTATTGATTCAATATTGTGTAACAGAGGTCACCTTTCAGAGCTGGTTTTGCCTCTGGTCTGCAAGTAAAGCATAAACATGTAGCACACTTAAATTTATGGTTTTGAAATAGCGTTCTGGAATGCTAATACTGGCCAAAGTAATATTGTTTTCTGTTTGGCATGGTGTCCTCAGGAGAAATTACAAACCAATTTGATGTGCAAATTCATTCATTCTTCACTGATTCATTTACATCTGAAGATACATTCCTCTAGGGTTTCTGCTGCTTAATGCTAATATACATTCTGCTGGAAGGATTCCAAGATGCCAGTTCCCTACTGAAGAGTAGATGCTGTATGGCCACGTGATGCTGTATGAGCACAGCTTCCCACATTTAAAAAAAAAAAAGGACATTGAAAATGAACTATAAAGGCTTTATGATGAGTTAGAGTATTGCCCAGAAATGCAATAGCTAGTCTCCCATTGGACGTTTTTGAACATAGACACGTGTTGTTTGTAGTACTTTACTCCAGGCATTAGCAGGTTTAACCCAGTACCTTGATGTCCATAGAACCAGACCTGGTCCATGGCTGGCACTAGTAGGTCATGTGGGCTTGTTACCATCCTTGTTACCATCCTCTTTTACAGGGGTCATCACATGATCCTAGAGCTAAAGCTCCTCAAAAGAGAGAAGTACTGGATTTCCAGACATAAAACACAGGAGGATGGGCCCACCTGCCCTTTGTTGTCCTTCTAGTTGCACAAATCAATCATTCAACCCCCTTTACTTACGCTTCTCTAACTTCATAGTGCAGAGCATTCTGATCCAGTTGCAGAGCTTTCCACTTACAATTGTTACGTAGAAGGAATAGTGTCCACCTCAGAAAATCTTTTGCCACACATGATATATGGCTACAGATCATGTGTTCATATTGCTACATATAGGTTTATTTTAGATTGAAAAGCCTACCTGCCATTATTAAAGAATGATCTGTTTTTAATAAATCCACCACAGTTTTCATTTAATGCATTCAGGAAAAAAATTGATCTCATTTTCCTTTTTTTTTTCCATGTTGAGTGTAGAAAATTCAAGGAAAAAAAGAGGCTCTCTACAGAGCAAATTCATACAACAGCAAAGCACAGTTTAGAGTGTACCACATGAAAATAACAGAAAAGTGGAAGGGCTTGGATGGAACAAGCAAGCAATCATTGTTCTGTCTTAAGAGACACAATTCTGCTGGGACTTGGTCTTGTTCTTTATGGTTTCTGTAGCTAAAAAGCACCCTAGATTGGGTACATCTCAGTGTAGGAGGGTCAGAGTAATTTTTGCTTTAGGCTAGGCTTTCTGATCTGTGAACCCATGTTCACAGGCAGTTCAAACCCACTCACTAGAAAGCTACCCCTCTGCTGGGCAGCCAGCTGAGGCAGGGCTGGGCCTTGTACCTCCAGTTTTCTAAGCTTTTGGAACAAAAGAAATTAGACTGCTTAAGGCATGTGCCCAGTTATGATTCCTTCCAAATCAGCCTGGATATTGGTGAAGTTTTGGCATCACAACTTGTTCAGGACTCAGAGTCAAGTTTTGAGAGGAGAGATAAATCATGTTAAAAACTCTTGACTACACAGGCTGCTGTGTTAAGACAGCAGCCAATGTAGGCAAACCCAGGAAATCCACTCAAATGGTAAGGAATCTCATTTTATCTTTTGTACCTTTTTCTTTCCAGGTTGGACTACAGTGGCCCTTCCCGAGAATTCTTTTTCCTTCTGTCTCAGGAGCTCTTCAATCCCTATTATGGGCTGTTTGAGTATTCAGCCAACGACACTTACACTGTACAGATCAGCCCCATGTCTGCCTTTGTTGAAAATCACCTGGAATGGTAAGAACATTTTATGCAGAACTGAACAGTTGTTTCAGAGCAATAAAAAAAAACGGAAAAGCGCAACAAAAGCTGCCAGTTTAGACTGGAGTACATACAAATATTGCTAATTCTGGGAAGAGGTGGAGAAGTAGGTTGCAAAAAGGAAGAGATGGGGTAAACATAAATACAAGAGAAGGCTCTGAAAAAGCAGTTGTGATGAAATTACTACTATTAAAATGTCCTGCTGGCATTAGTTGGGACTTGATGTTTGTGAATTTCTGTGTGAATATAAAAAGGACAGGGAGAAGAGCTCTGCTTAATCCAGTCTTCATCTCCTTGGTCCCTTTCTAAGAGCCAGTGGCCTTTCTATATATCACACAGCAATGTGCTTGGAAGCTGTACAGTATTCTCTGAGAGCCACATTGATGCTCTGTTCCTACCACAGGCCTTAAGAAAGGCCCAGTGAAAGCAGTTTCCCTTTTCTTCCTTGACAGAATGTCCCTGCTTGTCTGGGGCAGTGCTGGCAGAGTGAGCAGATATTTTAACTTACTAAGTATGTGTGCAAAGAGACAAATAGCTGGTCTTGTTTCTTTAACAAAAATTCTGAAAGCGTATTGTGATGTCCTCATTTTCTCTTTCTGCCTCCAGATTTGTCTGTCTTTGGGAGTTGTTTTCACTTTGGTAGTTTCAGATGCAGTTAAGCGAAGCATAGGCTGCAAGCCCTGGGCATTGCTTGATCCCTTGTGGAATTTCATTGTGTCAAAGAAGTGCTGCCCCATAGGTTTGTTCCTATGATGGTTTTCTTTGTCAATCTCACTTGCTCATCTCAAAGATCCTTTTCTTAAAATGGGAGGCAGTTCAGTCCCCTTTTAAATTGCAAACAGTACATGTTCCTCTCTTCTTGTGAGCAGATCCTCCTTTGCTTGGCTTACAGCAGGTGGGAGATCAAGAATAGTTGTACTGTCACCTCTGTTAAAGTTGCTGGGGGAAGAAGGGATGTTGCTTGGGACTAGCATGGTTTCTGTATTGTTGGAATTTCTTTTTTATTGTCATTTCCAGCAGTGGAGCTAACAATGATCCTTGCTTTAGAGTGTTTCTCTACTGACATGAGCAGGAAGAGAATAGCTTAGTTCTTACAGCTTGTTCACCTCTTACTACAGTCTTGTTCATTAGACATTAAGTGGTGCCTTCCTAGTTTTCAGGAAGAAATAAAGTCTGTTGTATGTCCTGTCTTAACAGACAGCATAGATAAACTTCTGATTTAGGAGGCTGTTATTTGTGGAGATGTATTTTGACTTCCAGGCAGAGGACCAACTAGGCAGGTGCACACCCATGATCATTCTGCCCACATTGTGACAAAGCTGAATACAGATCTCTATTTCCAAAGATGGTGTTGTTGCCATGTTATCTTAGCAGCAGGTGAAACAGGCCCTTGCTCTTATGTGTCATGAATACTGGCCTTGCAAAGAGTTGCAATTTTCTTAAGTGATAAATTCTACTGCAAAACATATATGCTGTGTTTGATCCCTTCATTTTGTCTTTCTGTGCCTTGAGACATTACAGCATGAAAGGGGCAGGTTTTTAAAGGTATCCTGGGCATACAGAACAGCAGAAAGACAGCGATTATGATTTTCCTATAGCAGTTAGCATTTAACTCAAAAATAAGCAGCACTTAGACACGTAGGCTGTTTCTCTGACTGCACATATCAATCCAGCTTCTTGCATACAGAATGTTATTTGGCCTTCAGACATTTTTGTTTTCCTATTTTTAAGAAAGATAAATTTGCTCTCTTGGCCTGCAGAAGGAAATAAATGCTATGAATGAAGAGGTTTGCACATGCAGTATTGTAAATAGGGCAATATTGCAGAACCCAAGAGAAAGATAAACAATCTAGTCAGTGCTTGGAAATACTTCTTAAACCTCTTATGGAAATAATTGCCCAAGACCAGCAGTTTATAATTAGTCTGACACGTTTCTTGATTGGCTTGTAGATACATAGACATTCTAAATGTTTTTATACCATGTGACTAATCTCAGCTATTCATGTGTAACCTTAGAGTTCCTGTGTTCAGAATTCTGTGCAGCCAGTGAAGATAGGAATTGGACCAGAATTTTTGAAACTCAGAGTTCGATTCTCCCATTAAGGCTTGACAAGCTAACTTCTGTGAAGACACTGTACTAACTGCCTTGTCACTGTTTGTTCCTGAGGAATGAGGATTCCTGATGTTCCCAGGCTTTCTTCATTCTCATCAAAGTCAGAGCTAGAACTTCTGTTTCTTATATTTGTTGATAAGATTCCAGCAGAGCCTACTCCCGGTAACATCCCAGAAATAGATATCACTTTCCAGTTCTCAAATCTGTTTTGAAGCACCAGCTAACATAGACAGATTAATCAGTTTGAGAGTTCCAGGGTCACAGATAATTAATATTCATAGTCTTTTCAAAGCTTGAAGTCTGATGTCAGTCATGAAAACCACACAACCACAATTGGTTTAGATTTGCAGATTTCTTCAACTGTATACCTTTTGGTCCTGTGGGGATTTTTTTTTTATGTGGAATCTACCTTTAGCATGTTTTTCTCTATAGTACTTCTGCAAGACCTCTCCAGACACTGCTATATTAAGAAACAGAGCTAGCAAAAAAAAGCACACAAAATTATTTAACATTTTCTTAACTGAACAGTGGTGAATTTGAGATAAATACTTTGCAAAATGCAAAGATGAGAAGTTGTATTCATATTGGCAGAATGGAGAAATACACTGCTCTTTTTCCCCAGCCTAAAAGTTACAGTTTGCCCCTTTCAGTGGCTGATTTCATGCTTTGCTCTTTGTACAAACAGCACTCGGAGTCCAAAATGAGCACATCAAAGCACAGACTAGTTGTATATATGTCAAGTTAAGAAAGAGACATAATGACTGGAAAATATTTCTCATTTATGGAGAAACTGAGATTTAACACCTTTCCTGCAAGCTTCCATTGAATAAGACTTTTTCCTTCAGTTAACGTGTGCATACCAAACACACAAAATATAAGATACCACACATTTTTAAAGTTAAAATATTTTAAATCCCCCTATATCTGAAAGGACAGTTATAACTCCCTAGACCAAAGAAGTTTGATGATACATATTTTTATCTGTGTGCTACAGGATGTACCTGAAGCTCGTAGCCAGAAAAGCTGCTTTTAATCCATGCCAGTAATTCTATCTGATCTAGGTAAACATGTCTAGCTTTTTGCCTAGATACTTGAAAACATCTTCTGAAATACACCCCCACTGGAGGTAGTGCACTCTTTTCCATATAAGTGGGCAAAATGTGGAACCAGAGAAAGAAATGTGAAAATAAGCTCAGTCTCTGCATAAAAAGGCCAAATGGCCTAGACAGAAAAAATCATTCACAGACATTCATTTGGAGATCTGAGGGATCTTAACTTGAAACATCTTTTTTCTCTGTTTTCACTGTGAATTAGTGACAACATGGTTTTTTGTAATAGTAAGGCATTTGTGGACCTTGCTGTGACATTTATGCAGCCAGAGAGCAGTACCCCAGTGCTACAGTTATATTAGAGGTATTTACAACTTGCTAATCGTACTTAGCATTTTGTATCCATCTCACAGAAACCTTGTTGTGTTTTGTTTGGTTTTCTTTGTATGAAAATTAATGCATTTGTTTAGCAGAACCTTACTAAAAAGTTGAAGACCTGTGAGTAAAATGCTTTTGTGCAGAATCCTACTGAAGACCACAGACATGATACAGTCAGACCCAATGCTCAAGTCTCCAGAAGCTGTAGATTATTGCTGGCCAAGTTGTCCTAATGAACTCTACTAACTTGATGCTCATTTAGAACTGCTTTGGGGCAGGACTTTCTTCATTCATTTCCCATAATGAACTTTTCTTTCTTCTCTCCAGTACCTCTCCTCATATTCTAGTCTATTCAGTGTGCCACTGAACAGAGTCAGGCAGAAGACTTGCATGTGTTTCTGCATCTCATTCTGCAGGCAGATGGAAGCCTCGTGCACCCACTTTCCATGCAGAAAAGATCTTGCTTTCCCCGTGCTCCAAGTCAGCTGACATGGTCACTGCAACTGGTTGAGTTGGGCAAATACACAGTCTCCCATCAGGGCTGATTGCCCCAGGCATGGCACTGCCTGGGTTGCTTTTATGCGCTCTGGCACATGGGCAGAGGCAGCTCCCTTTGCCTACATGGTGCTGTGGGGGCACAGCCCCAACCAACCTCTGAGCAGCCCTTTTATTTATTTTGTGTAAACGAGAAACCACATAACTCTCCATCTCTAGCGTGCCAAAGAATGCAGGGTGTTGTTTTTCCTCTTTTTTGTTGTAATAAACCCAAGGAGAACCGAGAATGTTGCAATTTCAGCTGTCTTTTCTCCTTAGAGAGCTTGGTTGGTTTTTTACCCCAGTTTCCTTATGAGTTGTGCCTTGTGCAATTGCTCTGCCTATCCATCAGATTCCTAATCAGTTTGAGACCTGTCTGACAGGAAGGTAAATGTCTTGAAGATAATAATTTCCTAAAAGCTTTGTGAAACTTGTGTCTGGGTAAAGGACAGATCCACAGAAGAGTGGCTCAGTGAGGCAGGTGGGAGAGCTCAGCAGGGATCTGGGCTGTCTGTGCTCACAGCTGCTCAGGCAGTGTGAGTGAGCCGGCAGGTCCATCACAGGCACAAGCTGCAAAGCAGCCACATCTTCTTGCTCAGTAGCTTGGGGACCTGAGGCAGAGCTGTGCAAGCTCAGGGGAGACAGAAGGGACAAACTGGAGGTACTCCAAAGTCTGGGAAGTGCTAGCAGAAATGTATAGGAGGAACTGGGAGCTACTGCAGGATTGTAATGTGGGGCCATCAGAGGCAGATCTATAGGAAACAAAGCTCCATTAATCCTTCTACACAGAGATTGACGTATTTCATTGAAGTGTTTTTAAAGAAAGTGACAAATTGCCTCATGACCTAATGGGTTGTATTCCGATGTGGACTAGTTCATGGGATGGATTTAGGCACACTCAG